GTTTTGTTGAATGTAAATAAATATTATTTGATTTATGTGGTTTATTTTTTTTCGATCCAAGAATTCATTAGTTCCCTGACTTCCTAGGTTTTTTTGTATCTGCTTATTGTTTTGGGTATAAAATTTATTAAATTTTTTCTTAGAGTTATACCGTTTTTCTTCCAGCCTAGTAAAGCAAAGAAAGAAGTCATAGTTTGGCGGTATAATGTACGCCTGGAACTTTTGACATCTAAATTTTGAATCTTGTTTTTTCTAATTGTTAATTTCCTCCATTGTCAAAAAAATACAGTAAATTTCCTAAAATTGTCTCGTGGACTATTCTTTTCAAATCCTCTAGTTAAGGGGACTATTTCAGAGCTGGGCATTTCAAGGAAAAAACTTAAATTTCTTTGCAAACAAAGAATACCAATAATTTTCAAAAATTAGCATAAGGAACTATGATACTAAGACAAACAAATAATTTTCATTCCAACCCTTATTTTTTTATCAAGTTTCTAAGACTCCAAAGTCTATTTTAATAATCACAAGATTTTCACATAACTATTATTTTTTAATATTCTTCATCATCAGGTAAAGGTTCAGAGCAGGGCTGTGCGCCAAAATTTTCGCGTGGCGCGCCAAACGCCAAACGCCAATTTTTTAAATTTTAAAAACACGCCAAACGCCAAACGCCAAAAATCGGCCAAAATCAACGCCAAAACGCCAAACGCCAAACGCCAAACGCCAAAATTTTTAGAGTCTATAAAGACATAAAAACCACTGTTCATCTCATTTTAGCGCCGCAGGCGAAATTTTTTTAATTTTCAAGATTCCCAGAAGCCAGAATTCATCCTTTTTTACCGCCGGAACGAAATTTTTGAGAATTTTGGAGGCAAAGAAGCCGAAATTCATCCTTTAAAAAATTTTAAAAAATAAGAAATTTATAGAACTCCTTGAGATTAAGGTGGATATGAAGGGATAAAGGGAGTAATGAGTATAACAGAGGTCATGAAGAGAGTAAACGATTGACGGGACTAAAGTTTTTTTTCTACCATCTATTAGTTTAAGATAAGGGCTTCCTCCTTTAAGCGCCGCAGGCGAAAATTTTTAAAATTTTGGAAGTCCAAGCAGTAGATTTCTTCATTTTTTATGCGCCGCAGGCAAAAATTTTGAGAATTTTGGATGACTGTACGCAGAAAAATTTCCTTTTTCGATCATCCCTTTCTCCATTTATTTAAAAAAATTCCATCATTAGGGGTGTATATTTTTGGCGTTTGGCGCGCCAAAATCGGAAAATCACGCCAAACGCAAAACGCCAAAAATCGGCCAAAATTAACGCCAAAACGCAAAACGCCAAACGCCAAACGCCATGACGCACAGCCCTGGTTCAGAGCATTCAGCAACCTTTAAAGTTATTTTAAAAAATATTTTATTAATTAAATACTTCTTCATAATCCTTCTCTAAAGCAGCCAAATCTTCTCTCGCTTCAGAAAATTCCCCTTCTTCCATTCCCTCACCAACATACCAATGAACAAATGCACGTTTAGAATACATTAAATCAAATTTATGATTTAAACGAGCCCAAGCTTCGGCAATTGCTGTTGTATTTGAAAGCATACAAACAGCACGATGAACCTTTTATGTATTTTTTAAAGTAATTTTAAATATTTCATTTTAACTTATAATATTTTGTTCGAACTTATAATATTTCATTGGACTCATAGATTTGACCAAAGCCAAATTGAGGGTAATTAAGGCGCTGAAGGTGAACTCTAATTTATAAATTTGGAGAAATACAAATTTTCTATGATTCAGACGCTAAAAGGTTCGAAACCCACGCGGTTTTGGTCATCATTTAACTGTTTGCGCCCAACCCTATTTAACCATTGAAAGTACTTTTAAAGACTTTTTCCTTTATTTAAATCTTTAATTTATTTCAAGACTTTTTACCTTAGCCAAATCACCGCCAGGTACAACAGTAGGCGGCTGATAATTAATTCCAACTTTAAAACCAGTTGGACACCAATCAACAAAATTAATTCCTCTTTTTGTTTTAATTCCAGCAATTGCCGCATTTACATCTTTTGGAACAACATCCCCTCTATAAAGTAAACAAACAGCCATATATTTGCCTTTTCTTGGATCACATTTAACCATTTGATTAGCTGGTTCAAAACACATTTGTGTACATTCAGCAACAGACAAAGATTGATGATACGCCTTTTAAAAAAGTGATAAAAAATAAATGGGTTTTTCATGTTAAATAAAAGCTATGGGAGATTTTTCAAAAGAAAAAGTTTTTTTCTTAGAAATTATTAATTGTCTTAATTAGCTTTCTTTAAGATAAATATTTTTATTTTTTACTTTGTCAGCAGAAATTACAGGTGCATAAGTAGCTAAAGGAAAATGAATTCGTGGATAAGGAACCAAATTAGTTTGAAATTCAGTTAAATCAACATTTAAAGCACCATCAAAACGTAATGATGCAGTTATTGAAGAAACAATTTGTGCTATCTTTTTTTAAATAAAACAAAAATATTTTTTTTATCAGAATTATTTCTACATATATTTTATTCCTTTTTTTAAAATAAAATACTAAAATTTATTCAGAAAGGAAAAAAGAAAGAAAAATAAAAAAGAAGTTACCCGTATTTTCTCTAACAAAGTCCCACATTCTAATACAGCCTGGATAGTTGAAAAATACAGCCACATGGGGCTTTATAGGAAATACGGTATGTGTTAGGTAATGAATTCAAATAAATTTTTTTAGAAGTTCAAAGAAGCCAAAATGTGAATAATAACTGACAAAAGGGCATACTAAATGTAAAAGCCCCAGAAATCGTTTTAAAAATCAAAAACTTTTTTTCTTTTATTTAGTTATTTTAACAAAAAGGAAGAAAAATAAAGGAATATTTTTTATTTAAAACATACCAATCTATTAAGGTTATTATATGAAGGTCTCTGTAAAAAATATTATAGGTTAAGTCAACTCCAATATAATGAGATTACCCTTCTTTACAATAAAACTTAAAATTTTCTCAGAAAATATTATTTTAGTCAATTCTCCTTTTTTACACATTTTTACAATTATAAACCCCCCTCCCCCCAACAATTGTCTCCAATTACTATAATTTCCCAAAAAATAATTATTTTTTACCTCAACATCTAAACTTTTTCTACAAATATCATAAATAGCTTCATTATCAACCATAAAAGAACAATCAGAATGATTTAATGTTGTATGTGTTGTTAATATAGAATTATAAGGTTCTACTACAGCTGTGGCTACTTGAGGGGCTGGATACACAGAAAATTCTAATTTTGATTTTTTCCCATATTCTACAGATAAACGTTCCATTAAGAGTGCACTAAATCCAGACCCGGTACCTCCACCAAAAGAATGGAAAACAAGAAAGCCTTGAAGGCCTGAACAACTTTCAGCCTTTTTTTTAAATTTTGTTGAAATTTTTTAAATTAATTTATATTTTTTAATCCCTTTTCAATATTTATTTTAGTTTCTTTAAAAAATGAAAGAAAATTTAAGAAAATTTTTTTAATTTTCTAATTTGTGATTAAATTAGATTTGCCTTTTTGTTGGAAGAACAAATTGAGGAGGTTTTTTGTTAAATAAATACAAAATAAATCTAAATTATTTATTTACCTGTTTACGTATACGTTCTAAAACTCTATCAATATGTTCTTTACCTTTAAATATATTTTATTTAAAATTATTTCTTTTAATTTAACCAATAGTATAATGCCCTCTAGCATAATTATTAGCTGCATCTTCTTTTCCAGTAATTAATTGTTCTGGATGGAATAATTGTCTATAAGGACCTACACGTATTTCATCAATTACACTTGGCTCTAAATCTACAAAAATAGCACGGGGAACATACTTTCCATTTGAACTTTCCGTATAAAAAGTATTATAATACTTTAAAAATATTAGGGGTATTTTTAAATTAAATTTTATTATTTTGCCTGGCATTTTTCTCTTCCCTTTCTTTCCCCAATGTCAAAAATTTCTTCATTTTCTTCTTTTTCTAATAAAAATCCATCTTTCCCAATTCCATGTTCTAAATTATAAAGTTCCCAACAAGCATTACCTATTTGAGCACCTGCTTGCCCAATATTTACAGAAATACATTCACGCTTAAGAAAAAGGAAATTTTAATATTTAAAAATAATTTTTATAAAACTTACTCCCTCTGTAGGCATTATTAAACTGATATTTACTAATTTTGTAATAAATTCTCAAAAATTAAATGAATGAGCTTTTCTTGTAAATATGTATATTGGGTGGTTAACAAAGAAAAATCGGAGATTGAAATTACAAGACAATAATCTAAACGTGGAGGACATTTCTAAAATTTGATCTTTATCAGTTGAGGTATTAAAGAAATATTTTTATTTATTCCTAAGGAAACCGAAGATGGGAGAACAAAGGGAGGAAGATAAATTATAATTAAAGGTGTATCTTCCGGAAGCTAATTCCCGGAGTCATACTCATCACTGTAACCCAAAACTATTTTAACAGTTAGCTATCTTAGAATAAGATTCATAAGAAACTCAGAAAAATTAAAAGAGCTTGACCAAAGCTAAATACCGTAGTCCTAAAAAATAGCCTATGGAGCTTCAACAAAAATTGATTTCTTTTTTTATTCGATTTCAACACTTTGAGAAACTTAGTATATCAAAATCTCTCTTAAATTTTATAATTTAATCAGGTTAATTTTATAAAAAAATTTCGAGAAACATAAGTTAAACTAATGGAAAGTGAGGAGCAGAATACAGCAAACGCAAGGCATATTGCGAACTGCCTCCTGCAAATAGAGACTATGAGTTTGCCTAATAGGTTAATCAGAATTTAAAAAAATTATGTACAATAAATTAAGAAATTCCTTTATTTTGTACATTTTAAAGGATATAATCACATTGAGGTCTTAAATATATAAATAATTTGTGTATACAAATAATGATTAGAATGCCAGAAAATTTCACGTTATATTTAATTCTTTTATTTTTTACGGCGACGACTCTTTTTAGATAAAACTTTGGGGGTAACATCTTCTTTCAATTCTACATTACTTTGTTCCAATTCCTTAAAAATTTTATTTTTCAAAGTCCAAGTATTTATATAATAATTTCCTTACTTCTTTACTAATTGCTCCATTTTCAACTTGTTCATTTATTTTTGCTTCAGTCTCAAAATGTAACAAAAGATCATGAATTTGTTCTTCTAAAGCCCCCACTTCAATTTTTCTTTTTTGATTAGTTTCTTCTAATTGACGTGAAAGAAGTTCTTTATCAATTCTAAGTAATTTACTCATTTGCTTTTCTTCATCTAGTTCAATTTGTAATGTTTGGCATTTTGTTTGTGAAGATAAATATTTTTTATCAAGTTGTTTTTTTGCATTAGAAAGTGTTACGAGTTCGGCGCTGGTAGAAGCTAATTCATTTCGAGTAGATTTTAATTCAGCTTCCAACGAATTAATCTAAAATAGAAAGTAATTAACTAAACGAATGTTAACAAAAATTAAAGAATTTTGACTAAGTGTTCATTATAGTTTTCTGGTCAATATATTATTTAAAAAGAATCTAGACCCAAATTTCATAAATCTTCGGTTAAAAAATTTAAATACTTTTTGTTGAGCCTCTCTACTATATTCATTAAAACGTTCGTCAGCCTCACGAAGTTTTTCTTCATAAAAAAGTCTTTGATTTTCAAGTTGGCTAGTTAATAAACAAGTATATTCAAGTTGAACAGCGCTTATCTTCTCCTTTTCTTTCTAACAAAATAAAGAATTAATAAAATTATTAAAAAAATATTTAAAAGTAATTTACTTCAAAACTATCATTATTAACTCCCTCATATTCAACAGGTTTTCCTTTAAAATAAATTTTAGAATTTTAAAAAATTAATATAACCATCAGTTGAACTCTCAATTAATCTATGAACATAATTATCTCCAGCATAATCCCAAACAAGTTTTCCACCAATTTGTAAGGTAAAAATATGTGAAGTAGTCTCATAATGTCTTTAATAAATTTTATTAAAAAATACAAAAATAATCACTTATAGGCATGTGCTGCTGCATAACGACCACAACCAATATTTCCACAAATTAGACACATCCAAAGGTCAGAAGTGAGTCCACAATCAAAACATTTCTGGTCAGGAACAATTTCAGGTGTTTGTGTATAACGACAGATAGGGCATCTAAAAATATCTTTATTTAAATATATATTTAGATAAACTAACGTTGTGTCCGCCCATTGACTAATACATTTAGCATGAAATGAGTGATTACTAAAATATTAAATATTTTATTTAAATCTAAAATAAACCATAAAATAATTAATAACATATTGTTTCCTTCTTCCATTCTTTCCAAACAAACAGAACAAGTACGCGTCTCCCCATATGCAGGATCAACATTTAATCCTGTAAACGTTGTTGAATCACCTCCTTCCTTAAATCAAAGCAGAAAATATAAACTTTAAAATTTTTTAAAATTAACCGCTTCAATTGTATCAACAAAACGAAGAGAACATTTTTCCGGTTCAATTGAATTAAATTCTAAGCCATTATATTGTTCATAAAATTTAGTTGCTGACTCCTAGAAAAAATAATTAAAAAATATTACAAATAATTTTTACCGGGGTTTTAAATTTTATAGTAACCATATATTTATTAGCTGTTTCGTCACGAACTATTTTCATTAGTAAAATATGTGTAGATGAAGGGCGGACAAAGCTGACTAGTTCTCGGCAAGTAAAAAACGCAGGAATGTCCATCATAACAAGCATACAACAATTATTTATTGGAGGATGTTCAGAACTTTAAAATTAATTTAATACTTTTCAAATTTTTTTAAAACCTTTCCAAATTTTCTTTATGCAAACGCATAACCCCACGATGTTTTTCAACAAATGGATTGCCATGGTAGAATGGTTTGGTGTCAGGATCAACCGCTGAAAAATTGTTAGAAATCATCCAAGTTAGCGAATAAACAAAAAAACATTTAAATATACAACCCACTGTTTTTTTCTAAAACATCCAAATCTCTCATGGGGGGTATTGAAATTGTTTCATTCGTCTTTTCATTTTTAAGTACATTCTTTGTATTCTTTGATAGCCTTTTTGTCTCCACGGATGTAGAATAACGCTTTTTGGTCAAAATCGGTGTTAATGACTCCTCCTGTTTTACAGATTTTTGACTCGTAGATTTCATTACTAGATACATTAAATCGAATAAATTTAAAATTTTAGATACTTAAAGTTCAAACAAATTAAAACATTTTACAAAGAAATAATTAGAAAACAATTTATTATACAAAAATATAAAATAATCGGCTGTTTAAAAAATATACATAACTAAACTCAATTACTTATTCATCTTCATCTATACATATTCATCAAATAACAGAAACGAACACATCGAATGCAAGCACACAAAATACATAAACAAGATCAGCATTGGCCAACCATGGATTAGTGGCACCAAAACTCCAGATAGGTCGTTGAATTGTTGAAATTTCTTGCAAAAGTTGATTAAGACCATAATAGAATAACTTTAAAAAGAAAATTCTTTTTAATTTCGATAATTATTTAAAATACCTGAAAATGAATAAATAGAACCTTTAGATTAATTCCACAACATATAAACGAAAGGAAAAAACAGAAGAAGGAAATTCGAGCAGTTAACAACAAAAGTATCCAAACTATCCCATTAACAGTTAATGCAAGTCCAATAAATAAATCCAATCGAGATTCTTCTTGCCTAGTAAAGAAACGAATAGGAGAAGAACAATGAGATTGTTTTTGTCGAAGATCTATATCATCCTCTTTGAAAACTCCAAATTTATCAATCTAAAAAATCAAAATTTTAAATCAATTCTTTTAAAAATATTACCAAAATACAAAACACCATAGGACAAATAATCTTTGGTGCATTAAGCATTAAATTGTAATCACATAAACGACCCATAGAAAAACCAATAAAGAAAATTTTGACGTACAAATCCGAACGACGCTGTTTAATTGTTTCTAAAATATTTCTATTATTTTATATAAATTTTAAGAATTATAACCATGTATTCTTTCCACACTTAACTGTAGCGGAAGCAACAAAATGACAGTTAATGCCTGGTAAACTGCCAACTGTGGTGCCCAAGCGAATTCTGTCCACAAATTACCAATAATTTCACCAAGCGTCAAGGCTAGCAACAAAATAGTTACACCTTAAAATTGAATTTGGTTGATATTAAAAAACAAAACTTACTGAAATACATATCATGAATCTCATAGAAGAGTGTAGCATTGACCAAGTCTAAAGTCGTCACATCTGCCAAAGCATCAACAAACTTGAAAAAAGATTTTTATTATAAAGTTAAACACTATCACTCACCGTAAAATTTTGCTGTCGTTTTTCCACCGGAAGAAAAACTTGCAGAAATACTCCCTTCAGATCTTTTAGTACTCTGCTTATGATGTGCCATTGGTTTATAATCAAACGCTTGACAGCGACCGAAGTTTCGAATAATTGCTTCGAACAATTTAGCAAAACATTGTGATCTTCTAGAGACTTTGAACGACTTGAAATCATTATGACAGAGATGTGAAAAATCAAATGGCATAATGGGTAGAAACAACGCTTTTATATGTTAATAATTGAAGTGATTTTACTTAACTATTAAAAATCAAAAAAAGATTTAATCTAGTAAAAAAGTTTAAAAGGGGAATAAAAGAAGTCATAAATTTACCCAGCACTTAGAATCTTCGAAAACTTTTGAGTAAATTTGGGTTAAATATCGAACAAACATAAAAATATATTAAAGTAAGCCTATAATAAGCTTTAAAAACAAGAATTATGGTTAAAATAATTGCACAACTGACAACATTTTTTAAAAAATGTATACAAAAATAAATTTAAAAAAAGAAGTCAAAAAAATGGAGTAACTGCTGAGGAAGCTAAAGTTGTTGGTTCTTTCTTCACGTGCAACCTTGTTTCATCATTCTTCTAGAAATTTTTTTTTGATTTAACTAATCTGAAAAAACAATTTGTACCTTTTCACGTTCCTTCTCTTTCTTCTTTTTTTTGTCCTTCTTGCGCTTTTTCTTTTCACTTTTTTCTTTATCATCTCCTTTATGCTTTTTGAATTTTCTTTCACCGTCTAAAACTTAAATTTAGGAATTCATTTTAATCCATAAAATTTAGAAAGGTTGTTAAAAAAAGTACTACTGAATTATCCGCCCGCATATTTTTACTCCCTTTCTAAATACTCAAAAAGGTTACAGATAATTAAAAGTAGTGTTTCGAGCCGAGATATAAATCGAAAAACCACAGGGAGACCAAGTTATGATCATTTCTAATCCTTATGAGAAAGATGGAAAGAAAACGAAAATGCGAGCAGATAACCGGAAGTACCAAAAAGACAAACCATCCAATTCATCAAGTGAGCGCTTTACACGAGTTCCATACCGAATATCAGTTCCATTATCTTTTTGCAAATTAGGGTCGATAACGGATTGTTGCTGCTGTTGAATGACGCTAGTAGTAGCCAATTCAATGGGGATATTTGTTAGGTCAAAGTATCGATATCCATCTGGCACTGGGCCTTTAGAAAATTAAAGAAAAAATTAATAAATACATAAATTTCTTTGAAACTAGATTTTATAAAATAGAATAACACAAAATTTATAAAGATTCCAATATTGCTAAGAGAAAATAAATTATAAAGTTAAACCTGGAGCAAGTTTGAATCCAGTCATTTGTCCAGCAGTAAGATTATTTATTTCTTTACCCATAACAGGAGGCTTCTCGATTAGTTGCCGGAGAGAACTTAGCATAAAATATTTTCTGAACTTTTTAATAATTTAAAAACTAACCACGATGCATCAGCTTTTTTATTAATCTGAGTTGCACCACAAACATGAGGCAAAAAAGAAGCGAGATCTTCTTTAGGTTTTTTAGGTCCACAATAACGATTATAAGAACCATTTAAGTCAAGAAGTGAAATTAAATCTTCACTTCCAAGAAGCTGACTAGAAGCTAAAAAAATAATTCTTTGCGAGTTTAAAAATAAATTTAACTTACGGGGAAGTTCAGGTTTCATTCCATAAAATGGTGAAACAAGTGAGAGTTGTGATTGATTACCTTTTAATGAAATTTTTGTTCGTAAAAAACCAGAACTCGTTCCAGTATGTTCCACCATTATTTACAGTCACTCAATTACCTAATATAAACCAAGACACAGCAGCTCAACATGGTACCTTAAGCCGCATCAGCGAAATTAATTTTTTTGTTCCTTTTATCAGGCCCTATCCCTCAAATATTTGATCCGCACAGCCCTTATTTTCTGCTCTCCAAATTAACCCAACCAAACCAAATTAACGAACTGAAACGCTTTAGCACTCTTACTTATTTTGAGCTGCTGTGCCAAAATGTGAATGAAAAAAATTAAGGTTTTTAAGGAAAAATAACAATAATCTTTTAAAAAATTTATATTTTATGGCATTTTGATTTTTTTGTCAAAATGTGACAGTCAGAATATCAATGAACAAAATATCCAAGTTAAAAATCGTACATTTTAAAACCATCAGCATCTGTCATGATTTTTCGATTTGTAATAAAATTGTAATTGTTCATATACACAGACAAGTAAATTAAAAAATATCACGCCATTTTTTCAGGTGAAATGATAAAACTGGTAAAGAAAAGCCCAATCATTCTTTCTGAATTAAAATAAAATTAAATTTTTAATTATTTAACCAAATGATTGCTCAAAATCTTCAGGTTTTTTCTTTTAATTATGCTAAAATTGGAAAAATCTAGGAGGTTTTCATCGTTTCTGCAGTCCGCACACCAATTGCCTCCTTCCGTTCTTCATTTTCTACGCTGAGTTCTATCGAGTTAGGCAGTGTTGCATCTTGTGCTGCAATAAAGAGAGCAAATATTAATTCAGACATTGTAATTTTATTAAATTATTATTTAGATTAAAAAGTTTTTCAATTGTAGATTGAAGAGGTAATCACCGGCTCTGTTTTGACTGCTGGTGTTGGACAAAATGTTTCACGACAAATTGCCTTGAAATCAGGTATTTTTGATGGCATTTTCGGTTGAGTAATTTTTATTTGTACATCTGCATGATTTGAATGAGCGTAAATAAATAACTAATTTTTGATAACTTGATAATTTTTTTATTAAGGTGTTCCAGAATATCGAAATGCTTTTACAGTGAATAAAGTCTGCTCATCAAGCCTCAAGGCTATGCATTTGGCTACTCAGTCATTAATGCTTGGTACGCGTGATGTTGCGCTTGTTGTTGGTGTTGAAAGCATGAGCCAGACTCCTTTTTATCTTGCTAGAGGGGAGAATGGATATGGTGATGTTAAGTTGGTGGTGAGTATAACAGTGGAATAATACAAATGATTTAGTCTATAAATAATTTTAAAATTAATATTTAAAATAATTAGGACGGCATTCAACGAGACGGAATTTGTGACGCCCTTTTAAATCAACCGATGGGACTTTGTGCTGAGAAAACTGCTAAGGATTATGGATTTTCACGTGAAGATCAGGATAATTATGCTCTTAAATCTTATGAGCGAGCCGAAAAAGCTTGGATGAATAGGGAATTCGCTGCTGAAGTTGTAGAGGTTAACGTTCGTCAACGAAAAGGATCGCCTGATTTGGTCGTAAAAGAGGATGAGGAGTATAAACGATTGATTAAAGAAAAGGTTTCTATATTGGCCCCCGCTTTTTTAAAAGATGGAACTGGGACAATTACTGCTGCTAATGCTTCTTCTCTTGTAAATAATTATTAATAATCTTATACAATTTTTTAAAAATTAACTGTTCCAGAATGATGGCGCTGCAGCAATTGTTCTTGCATCGAAAGTTGGTCTTACACAAAATAGCACTCTAAAGCCGATTGCTAAAATTGTTGCTTTTGCGGAATCTGCTCGGTTACCTGTTGATTTTACTATTGCTCCAGTTGATGCCGTTAAATTAGTTTACTTTTTTTCTGATATAAATTTCAAGTTTAAAATTTAAAGTTACTTAAACAATCAAATATGTCAAAAGATGAAATTGCTCGTTGGGAAGTTAATGAGGCTTTTTCTGTTACTGCTTTGGCTTTTATTCAATCGTTGGACTTAGATCCATCAAAAGTAAATTCACGCGGAGGGGCCGTTGCCTTGGGACATCCAATTGGTAAAAAATAATTAAAAGATATATTTACATTTATTTACATCTGACACTCAAAACTCTGATTTTAGTTTTTCTTTTAATTATTTTTCTTTTAGGTTGTTCAGGAGCGAGAATTGTAGTCACTTTATTACATCAATTGACAGCTGGTGAATATGGAATTGCAGCAATTTGCAATGGAGGAGGGGAAGCAACTGCTGTTCTTATTCAGAAGATGTGAAATGTGATTCATAGTTACAAACTTTTTCAGTCTAGTGATTTTTAAAATAATTTATTCAAATTTCTATTATTATTTGTTAACATAACATTCCATTGCAAAGTGCCATCATCTAAATTGACCTTAAATTACAAAAGCCTTTACTTGTAAATTAAATAAAACTCAGATTGTTATTTTTAAATAAATTTTATTTATTTTTATATATTTTTTATTAGTTTGTTTTTACTTTCTAAGTATCTTATGTTAGTTATATTTATTAAACAAAATAAATTAATATTTTCAGCCTTGTAGCTGTTCCTATAAAAATTTTCAAAAATGTTTGCTTTCTTTAAACGTCAGATTATTCCTTTTATCGCTCCTCGAGAATCTGTTACAATTTCTGTGGCAACTACCACTAGCCAGCCGTTAATAATGAAGATTCGAAGACATAAAATGAACAAGCATAAATACCTAAAAAGACTTAAACGCGATTGGTGGCAAATTAAGAAGAGGCAGGCTCAGAAGAAGCAAAGGGTAAGTATTTGATTTGTTTTCGTTTATACGGTCTCGAATTCCTAATAATTGGTGTTTTTTAATAGAGTTTATTTTAGTCTGAAGATCTTTTTCGTGGCCGAATGCGCGAAATGCTTGCCGAGTTTGAGCGCTTCGATCCCTTGGAATATGTCAAAGAAACAATGGAAAAGTTTGTTTTTTTTTGTTTATTTAAAATTTTTTAAACTTTCAGAGCTAATAAGGATTGGAGAGTAGATGTGGAGCCAAGCGGAAGGAAAAAATTCCCCCATTGGTCGACATTGATGAGTCTTGAAGAGCTTTATTCAGTCGAGAAGGATGATTATATCGACAAACGCTTTGGATTGCCAAGCAGCGAGGAACTCCCGATCTTGAACAAACTTTGCGCTGATTATCAACATCATTACATTGTAGGGCCAACTAAAGAGTTTTTAGAAAAAAATAAGAAAAAAGAATGTGAGGAGAGACAGAAAATTCTTGAAATGGCTGGTTATTCGATTACAAAAATTGATAGAAAAAGTGATGAAAAATAGTTTATTATTTAAGATTTTGTTATTTTTGTCCGAAAAATGTTTTAACAACTGCGGCTTATATGTGTCTTTTTGGGTGTTTTTTTTTTGCATTGTTGCAAAATACAACAGAGGTCTATACGAGTTGCACCATATCTCTGATATGCATAACATTGTAAACTTAGATAAGAAATTAACAGCATGACACGACTCGAACTATTTAATATATGTACATTTAGTCAAAATTTTATCTTTGATAAAGAATTGAATTTAAAATTAAATTTGCAATTTTCTAGATATATAACTCAAATTTATATATTGCGCCTCAAAGTTGTTGATTTTCTTGAGTTCGTAATTGTTCTTCAGCAAATTTAAGCTCCTCCCTAAGCCATTGCGCATACTTTAATAAGTGAATTAATTTTTTAGAAACCCCCGACTTCCCCGTTCTTACACAATTACTTATCCACATACCTGTCCAGTAGATTCTTGGTCTCGTTTTCGTTTACATTCTTGTTTGCAAAGTCCATAATCTACCATTGCTTTCAAACTTTTTGGCTTTTGAATTTTGATTTGTTCAGTGCCATGTAAATTTACATCAACCGATTTAGCCTGTGGTTCCTGCGGAGAGTCAACAAATTGTTTACGGATTTTTGCCTCCGTGCATATTCCAATAATTAATGTAATAAATAAAATAATAAAAATATCTATACTACGACTCATTTAATGTTAGTGCCTTTCTTAAAATAGTTTTTGTGTAATTTTGTTAACAAATTAATTTTAATGGTCAAGTGATTGGGAAAAACTATATTAAACATAAATATTTGTAATTTTAATTCTATTCATAAGATAAGATATGAACACCCGAAAAAAACAATTACGTAAGAGGAAGAGATAAGAATCAACGTAAAGACAATTTTTAAAGGAAAAATAAAACGGAATCTTTAAATAAGATTTTTATTATTTACGAATTGGAGAAATGTAAAGTTAAAACAATTTTAGACAAAAATTTCTTCAAAAGTAAAAGCAAACTAATGTTTATACATAGGTAGAATCTGTCGGAACTCGTATTTTGTAGATATTCGTATACAAACTTTAATGTTTTAACGGGAATTGGAAATTATCGGTTATCCCACAAATTTTTTGCGGACTCGTAATTATCAGGGGATTCTTTTCTCTTCTTAAAATCATATAAACAGAAAATTCACATGTACAAGAAAATGAATGCATTGAACATTATGAGCCCGAAAAAACAGTACGCAAAAAAGTTAGGTCGATAAACGATGTATCCAGGTAATAAATAATATTACCTCCAACTTTATTCCAATTTTTTGAGAATTAAGAAATTGATTCACAAATAATATTTTTAAAAATTTCTTTAAAGAGAATTCTCTTCGAGTTAAAAACCGCTTTTATTTAAAATTTTAATAAAACAAATTTAAACATAACTAACACCAAATTTGTGGAATCCTAAAACATTTATTGCATTTGTCCTCTTTATCTTTCATTTCAAATGTTTGAAAGCCTTAGGCATTGCACAATGGTCGAGAAAGTGAACATAGTCGGTCATTTCCTTTTAATTTATTTTTATATTTTAATAAAGGATATATTTTGTTTAGATTAGATAAATTATTCAAATTAAAAAATTTTTTACGGATTTTAAAACAAAATTTATATAAAATACCATATGGCAAGATTCCCCAGAATCAGGATTGGCTCGGACACGTTCATTACAAGTTTCGAGTATTTCCTTCAAATTAATTGCTTTCTTTTCAAGTGCACATTGCTCGCGAAAAAATGTAATCGGATCGACGCCTTCTTCATATTTTTTCTATAAAATTTTTTGTTGTAAATTTAGTAATCAAAATATTTTATTTAACCAAACCTCAGACATTTGTGTCTTCAAAGGAAAAGTTGCTAATAAAATAAACTTTAAATCTGAAAAAAAGGAAAATAAAAAATAAATAAACGAAAATTTAAAATAAAATTCAATCATGTACGGCTTTGATTGCCTATTCGTCAACTGTGCAGCGAGAAAAAAACACAGCAAAATAAATTTGAATTATTACTGAGTTATGGCGAGACCCGACCGAACTGATAAAATATTTCTGATATGCGAGAATACGGGGTTTTTCTTATTTTTAGGTTCAGTATGACTAGAGTCCGGGAATATGAAAAGATCGGAAAACGGAAATGGAAATCCCTAGAAATAAAAACAAAAAAAACGTGTGTGTTAAGCAGCCACTCATTAACAACTTCGCGACAAAACAGTCACGACAATCTTTTTCTCCTTCATCTTCTCTGGGACACGCCCGAGTAGGCGCGGGCCAAGTAGGCGCGACCAAGTAGGCGCGACCGAGTAGGCGCAGGCCAAGTAGGCGCAAGGCCAAGTAGGCGCAAAGGCCAAGTAGGCGCAAGGGCAAATTTCTTAAATTTTACCCAGAATTTTCTTTTTTAATCTTCAAATAATTTTGCTAATTAGTTAGCTGAATAATCAATCAACTTTATGTGGACACTGGGCTTTTCCAAAACTGCCCTTAGGGAAAAAATTTATTAAGTGAAGCTCGGTGATGTTTTTATTTTTTGATAAAATAAAAAAATCTTTTCTTGTAATATTTTTCTCATAAAAGCTCCATACTTAGCTGTCGATAAGTTTTGGATTACTGGCTAAGTTTGTTAATTAGTGAAAGCCGTGCTGCTTTGATAATTCCTGTGGCTTACCAATGTTATGAATACTAACTAGTTTAAGGGGGACTAACTAGTTTAAGGGAATATTATGAATAATTAACCTGTAATAACTAGTTAGTCTCCTTTAGGAACTAACTAGTTAAGGAAACATGGAGTGTTACGAACGTACAATTAACAATCAAGATAAGACTAGAAGCTAGAAAAGACCAGAAATCAAGATAAGACTAGAAGTTAACAATCAAGATAAGACTAGTCCAGCTACCGATAAATCATTAACATAAAAATATTTATGCTGAATTATTTTTTAATTTGAATATTTTACGCTAAAAGATTTGCGCCTACTTGGCCTTTGCGCCTACTTGGCCTTGCGCCTACTTGGCCTGCGCCTACTCGGTCGCGCCTACTCGGTCGCGCCTACTTGGCCTGCGCCTACTCGGTCGCGCCTACTCGGTCGCGCCTACTTGGCCCGCGCCTACTTGGGCCGTACCCATCTTCTCTTAATTTTGTACACTTTCATAAAAAATCGGAGCTTTGGCTTCTGTGTATTAAATTTTATTTTATTTACATTAAATTACTTTTTTGTTATTTTCAGTAACTGAGTAAACTTGTCAAAAATTAAAAAGGATGGGAATAAAAGACTTGGCAAAAGTAATTGCTGATCATTGTCCTAAAGCTTTAAAAACAGCGGAAATGAAAGCTTATTTTGGACGTAAAATTGCTATTGATGCTTCAATGAGTTTATATCAATTTTTAATTGCTGTTAGGCAAGATGGAGCTGTTCTTACTTCAGCTGATGGAGAAACAACTAGGTAAATAAATATAATATTTTTTTTAAATTATAAAATATTTTTTGAATTTAGCCATTTAAATGGATTATTCTATCGAACAATTCGAATGATGGAAAATGGTGTAAAGCCAGTTTATGTTTTTGATGGAAAACCTCCAGAACTTAAATCTGATGAATTAGATAAACGTTCAGAAAAACGTGCTGAAGCAACACAACAATTAGCGGAAGCAACAGAAAAGGGAGACACAGAAGCTATGGATAAATATAATCGACGTTTAGTTAAGGTAAAAATTTCTAGAAAGGAAGGTTTAAAAATTTTAAAAATGACAATTTTACTGTTTTATGCGTGAAAAGTCGTATTTATTTAAATAAACACAAAACATAAATAACAGTGTTAAGAAAAATAACAAAATTAAAATTTGAAAAAAAATCTCTAAGTAAAATGTAATAAATAAATAAACATTTAAATATTTTTGAAAATTATAATTTAAATAAAATTTATAATTAATTATTTTAAAGGTAACTAGTGAGCACACTGATGATTGCAAAAAATTACTCAATTTAATGGGCGTTCCAGTTGTCGAAGCTCCTTGTGAAGCGGAAGCTCAATGTGCAGAGCTTGTTCGTAAAGGTATTGTTTATGCTACTGCAACAGAAGATATGGATGCATTAACGTTTGGTTCTGAAATTCTTGTTCGACATATGACTTTTAGTGAAGCAAAAAAGATGCCTATAAAAGTTTGTTTGTTTTTTTAAATTAATGTTTTTAATTGCTGAAAAAGTATGAGGAATTGATTATTTTTTAAAAATAATTGAGTGTTTAATATACATACATATTCCCAAAAATACCTAATTTCATGTTTCTTTAACAAAAAATATTTGTTTTAATACAATTTATTTTTTAATTTAGGAATTTTCTTTGGAAAAAGTTTTACAAGGTTTGGGCATAACATATGACCAGTTTATTGATCTATGTATTCTGCTTGGTTGTGATTATTGTGGAAATATTAAAGGAATTGGACCCAAAAAATCAGTGGAATTAATTAAACAATATGGATCTATTGAGGAAATTCTTCAAAATATTGACCATAAAGTTTGTAGAAGAAATTTTATTTTCTTAGTTTTTATTTCAGAAATTTCCACCACCAACAGGATGGAAGTACAAAGAAGCAAGAAATCTTTTTTTGGAGCCAAATGTAGAGGATGGAATTAAATTTGAAGTTTACCTATTTTAAATATTTTTTGAGATATTTTCTTTTTAAAGTTAAAGTGGGCAGAACCAAAAGTACAAGAAATTATTGATTATATGTGTGGACAAAAAGGATTTAGGTAATTTTAATTTTTAAAAGAACGTTCAAATAACTCACATTAAATTAACAAAAAATATTTTTTTGGATATAAGGAATTTATTTTTGAACTTTCTAATGATTAATATTATTTCAATTTTTTGATCATTTCTATTTTTAGAATTATTTAAATTTAATAAGCTTAATTTAATGACGCATTTATTATTTATTAACAATTTAAATTATTAATTTACGCCCAATTAATTAATTAATCTTTCCTTTAAATTCTTAAACAATTATTTTTTATTTAAAGGAATTTCCTTTTACGTATTTAAGTTTTTTTAAAATAATAAATTAATTGGGGGAGATCGTCAATTTTTTATATGGATTTTTTTTATTGATACGTCTAATGATGATAATAGGCATATTTTAAATTGATATTTGGAATATTTTTTTTAATCTGAGAAAATAAATTTAAAAAAATAATTAAAACATTCTTTTAATTTTTTAAACTTTAAGTGAGGATAGAATCCGTTCTGGCCTTGACCGTTTAAAAAAAAGTCGACGAACTGCCCAACAAGGTCGTATAGATGCATTCTTCGCACCAATTCCTGTAAATATTGAAAAAAACAACAAAGGAAAGAAAGAAATTGTTGAAGATAAGAAAGAGCAAAAGCCGGCAAAGAAGCGTAGAATAATTATTGAAGAAGATGAAGAAGATGTTGATGAAAAGGAGGAAGAAAATGAAAACAGTAAAGAGGTGGGGGGAATGAATGATTCATTTTTGTTTTTTCTTTAAATTAATTCTTTTATTTTAAAATATCATTTTAATAATCAACAAAATTTAATTTTAATCTAAAAATATTTTTCCCACAAAAGGACGACGACAAAAATGATGAGGGACAATTAAAAGATCAACAACAAATTGGGGGCGGAAGAACAGAAAAAACAAAAAATGCAAAGTCTTCGCTGAAGGTCCTTGCTGCTTCTAAAAAACCAAACAAAAAGGCGAACACTAAAAAGATGACTAAAAAATTTAAAGCTCAAAAAATTAATTGAAAACACGCCCATTAATTTATTTTTATTTATTTTCATTCCATCCATATATTGGCCATTTTATGTATTTACTCACACTCATTTTACATTTTAATTATTTATTTTGGTAAAGAAATTTTAAATATTTTTTGTAAATTATTTTGGGGATGTAAATTATACTTGTAGATTTCTGTGAGTTTTTCACAAAAATCTTGGAGTTGCCTTCCAAATTGAGAATGGACTTGACGAAATATGATTTCTCAAAGTTCTGGTTAAATATTAAAATTCCCTCCATCCCATTTCTATAATATTTTTTAAAATTTTACTTTAAAAAAACATTTAATTAGACAAGCAAAAATACATATTTTATTAAAAATAAAAAACTTAAAAAACTAATTAATAAATCTCTCCCTCTTTCTTTTAAACTTTTACATATTTCTCGCTTTTTTTACATACTTAATTTTATGACGGTAATTTAGACTTGTTTAAAAACAAAAAAATTTTAGTCTTTCACATTAGAATTTTATATATATTCACGTCTTTTTGAGGCCTTTATGGTGGTTATATTAACTGGTTTAGTTTATGTATATTTTCTTCTTTTCTCTTTTAATTTTTCCCCTTGTTGTCCCCGAGGCTGTCTTCAATCACCTTTTGCCTTTCACTTCGACGTTTTGATTTTGTAGGGGGGAGAATGAGAGAATTGGGAGTGGTTGATGAGATATTAGAGAGAAGAAGGTTATTAACATTTTTATGGCATAATAATTTTTAATTTTCCTTTGCACTTTAAAATTAAATTTTTGGTAATTAATTTTAATTTTTATTGTAAAATTATTTGTTTTGATTTAAAAATTGATTTTAATTATTTTCTTTAATCTAGTACAAAAATACAAGTCCATCCTATAAATTGTTTAGAGGGAGTGGATTTGTACTTTAGTAAAATGTTCTTATTTTATACAAAAAAGTGAATGGAAATAAATATTTAAGTTTCACTAATTTAAATTTGTTTGAAGGAAAGTTTTTATTAATTTAAAAATTATATATATGTACATAATAAATAAATTATTTTTATTTATTTAAAAAATTTACCTTAATTGACCTTCTTCCTTTTCCCCTAATTAAATCAAAAACAAAAAGAATATATATATTTTTGGGTATTTATTTATTATATTTTTATTGGTTTTTGTGAATTGAGCGTAAAAGTCAATTGTTCAAAGTTTTTATTTTTTAAACATTTTCTTTTCTCTCTTTTTTTCTTTTTTCTGTCGCGCACGCGTTTTGTCCATAAGAAAAGGAAACAAAACGGTTTTTACTTTAATTTTTTATAAAAAACAAAAAACAAAATGTTGTTGTTTTGACAAAAACAAAGAAGTTTTTTAATTAAAAAAATTAATTTTATTATTTGATAATTATTTTTTTAATTTTATTTTAAAGGGTTTTTTGAATAAATAAATAAATGTATTTAATTTATATTCTATAACATATTTTTAAGTTTTGGAACTAAAGAACTTAAGAGTTTTCGTGGGTTTGGCTCCGAATATTCAAAGATTTCCAAGAATCGACAATTCTAATTTTTAAAGATATTTATTTAAATAAAATGTAAATTTGCCTATTTATTTTTAATTATTTTCTTTTTATTTTTCTGAATTAATTTTTTAATTCTAATAATTTTTATTTTTAATCTCTAATCTTTTTTTAAAAAATAAATTCTTTTAATAAACACATTCCTCCCTCCTTCTTTGGTCCTTTTAAAAAATACATTTATTATATTCATTGGCCCCATCATTTTCTACAGGTTTCTTTTTAGCGTAATAAATACTAGGCGTTAAATAAAAATATTTTTTTACTTATTTTTGCTTCTTTTTCTTTTTACGCGCATTTTTCTTTTACAATTTCCATCAAAATTCCAATTTTTTCTGTGAAGGTTTTTGATATTTTTGCATAAATGTTAGGGGAGGTTATTTTATATTTTTGTTGCAAAAATTTCTATTAATTATTAAAAAATTAAAAGAAATTTTTAAAATAATTTTAAAAAATATTTTTATTTAAAGAAAATGTCTCTCTAATAAATTATAGAGTTGATAAAGAAAATTTTGAAAGATTTCTTTGTTAAATTAGATCGAATTCTTTAAAATTTCCCCATAATAAACCGGCATTTGGTCAAAACCTTAAAACCGAATGATCGGTTTTTGACCAACAATATATTTATTTTTTAGTTTTTTCTTTATTTTCTTTGTTTAAACAACAATTTATTTATTTTTATTTTTAGCAATAAATAAATAATAAATTTTTATTAAAAAATAAAATTACAAAAATATTTTTTGCCAATAAAATTCCGTTGCGCTATTCAATATCTTTTTCTTAAATCTTTCCTTTCCTTCTTCCTTTTAAAAAAAGGTTAACCTGGCAGTAAGTCGGGCATAAAAATAAGAGAGAGAATTTTTGTTTTTATTTTCTTTTTATTCGAATCGACCACCCCCAAAATGATTTAAAAAAAGTTTTCCTTTCGCAAAAAAAAGGTGGAGGGGGGGGGGGACCTTGAGGAGAAAAAATGAAAGGCACAAAAATAAATTGAAGGCCGATACGACGAAAAATTCCTCGATTAAATAAATTAATTTTTAAATATTTGCCAGACGGCCTCCAACGTTTTTAATTATTTTTATTAAAAATAATCAGGTATTTTTAAATATATAGAAATTTATTTTTATTTTCAAATTTTCTTCCTTACGGGGACAAAATTAAAAAAATAATTTTTCCTTTTTTGTTCACTATTCTAGCTTTCCAATTTTAATTGTTATTTTATCAAGGATGTTTTTAAGAAGAATTTATAGGGCGAATTTTTGAATTAAAAAAAACTTTAAAAAAAATAATTTATTTATTTTCTGTCTCGAGTAAAGTAATTAACTTTTTATTTATTTATTTATTTTTAATTCATCATTTCTTCTTCTTTAAATATTACAATTTAATTTTAATTATTTTTTAAAACTTTTTATATCCCTTAAATGTCCCAATTTATTTTTAAATTTAAAAAAATAAAAGAAAAATGATTAAAAATAAGAGCAAACAATTGAAAAAAAAAGAATCTTTTTTTTTTCTTTAAATTTTATTTTTAATTTTTGTCAATTCTTTCATTTATTCATTGCCCAATTATACCTACATACTTTCTACTAAATAAATAAATATTCTTTTTTTGTTATTAAGACGAGAAGAAGGTTTTTAAATTATTATTTTTTGAGTGTTTTTTAAATGATGATTACTCATAAAAGGATATTTTAAAAAATATAAATTTATTACTAATTTTAATTTGATTGCGCAATTGAATTAAAATAATTTTTGAAATAAAAAAAATAAATAAAAATTTAAGCTAATTTATTTTTTTAAAATATAAATTTTGAACATTCTTTGGAGGTTAAAAAATAAAAAAGAATTTATTTATAAATAAATAAAGATAAAATTCTTTTAAAATATTTATTTAATTAATAAAGTTCCACTAAAATAAACTTTATTAAAATACTCAAAAATATTTTTTGGTCAATCGTTTTACTTTTATTTTAAATATTTTCTTTATTTAATGTAATTAGGGAAATATATTAAAATATATATTTTAAACATTTTTTTTTAAATTATATTATTATTATTATTTTTGTTGTTTTTGTTCTTTGCGCAAATTTAGGTAAAAATAAATAAATGCAACAATGTTTGGTTTAATAATAAAATCTCTTCATTTCTTTTTATTTAACTTAAATTTTTTATTTTTTATTACTAATTTTTTGGTTTTTTTATTTTTCATGTTTTAGAATCTTTTTTTTATTTTTGATAATTAAAATAATTTTTATTATTTATTTTTGGCTAAATTAATTTATTTATTACTAAAAGAACTTGTTTTTATTTTAAAAATTGAAAACATTAAAATTTGTAAAATAAAATTATAAATTAAATTTAAAAATATGTAATTTAAAGTTTAAAAATATTTATTTTAATTTAAATTTTGAATATTATTTTAAAAAAATATTTATTTATTTTTAGATAACCTTCCTATGATTATTGAAAGAATTAAAATTATTTAAATTCTTCTTCAATTATTAAATTTAAAAAGGTGTTTTTGTATTGTTTTTCTTCTTTTTATTTTTGTCTATTATGGCTTCAATTATATTAAAAATTATTATTTGCTTTGGTTTTATATTATTAAATAAAATATTAATTTTAAATTCAATTCCTGTTGGTGGAAAACCTCCAGAAGATTTTGGTAAATAAAATAAATAATTATTTTTTTAAAAATAAGTAAGGGGGGATATTTTTAATTCCACATTAAAAATAAATATTTTAATATATTTATTTTCTCTACAAAAATTTACCCTCATTTATTTAAAAACAAAAAAATAAATTAAAATTATTTATATAAAAAAAGATTGTCCTTCCCCTATTGGCAATATTTATGGAAATTCTCTTTTTGGAAATGATGCAATTGAGTGGGAACAAAAAAGGCAATTTTGGTTAACAATGGATGTTTATTCAAAATCTTTAAATGATTGTGTACATCAATGTTATGGATATAGATTTTGGTGTTTTAAATAAATTTAAATTAATTTAAAATTTAAATTTAAAGTTATTCAATTCTTTTTTTATCAAATAATTCAATTAAAAAAACTTGCCGACTTTTCCTTCATTCAAGTGATGATTGTAATGGAAAAATATTGTTATCTACAGATAAAATTGACAAATTAAGTTTGGAAGAAAATAAAAATATTGTTGTTGTTGAGTGTTTAAAATGTAGAAAAATTGTTGAAAATGAAGAGAAGGAACCTTTAATTAGTGGACCTGAAGATGTTCCTAAAGGATTTAAAAGATTAATATCTTCAGGTAATTAATTATTTTCTTTGTTTGATCCAATAAATCTTTTAAAAATCGAAAAAAATTTTTTTTGAAGTTAATCAACAAAAACAAAACGATGATCCTTTGAGAAGTTCAGTAGAGAATGGTGGAGGAGCAAATAAGGCTATAATACCCCCAAATAATAAAGCAAAAGAAAATGGGGGAGAAAAGATAGATGAAGAAGCTAATCTTCGAAAACAAAGACAAATTTGGAGAGGTGGTTAGAATTTTATATATTAAAGTTAAAAAAAAACTTTTTAATTTTTTAGCTTGTCTAGTTACTTTTGAGGTATCCCCAGAAAGTGAAAGGGATAAAGCTTTGGCTAATTTTAAATTATCTAAAACTGCTTCAGTTTCTAGGTAAAACAAATAAAATATTTTAAAAATTGGACAAAATATTTTTTTAGTTTAAATGAATGTGCCTTTATTTGTTATCAAAATGCTTGCTCAAACGTTCTTTTTGAATTGGGCCCTGGAGGAGAAGAATCTACTGAGGGTAGTGGAGTTAGGCTTTCAAAATGTCATTTGGATATAGAATCGAATACAGAAAAATGTAGTGGAAATTTACAGAGACATTATTCTTATCCAAATATTAATATGACATTAATGAGTTGTGTACGTTGTGGTAAGTTTTTTAAATTAATTAATTATCCGATATAAATCCAATCTTATATAATTTAGTGTAAAGAAATTATTTTTGGAAATTATTTTATTTCTTTCCCAATCTCGAATCCCTTCAAAAAATATTTTTTTTAATTTTCTAGTAGCAAAGAAGCCAACAACAGTATCACCATTTGCTGAAATTTTTGCAAGAAGTACAGCTTCAACTCCAACACAAAATGAAACTACTCATGAAGCAACATATGAAACACCAACAAATATTCCAATAATTGCAGCAAATCCATTAAAAGAAAATAATTCTGAAAATAAAACAAATGAAGAAATACCTCCCTCAACAACAACAAATACTCAAGAATCGGAAAATAAAACAGAAAGAATACCATCAGAATCTACAACTATTTTATTATCACAAGAAGTAATAACACAAACACCTTTTTCTTCCCCAAACCAAATACAGGCAGAAACAGAACAATTTAAAAATGCAACAGTAATTGAAGCAACAGGATTAGCAGCTATTGACACAAAAATTAATAGAATAACCCCAAATAAAGAAGAGACTACTTTAACAACAAAAACAACAACAGAAAAAGAAGAGGAAGAAGAAGAGGGGCAATCAACAACAACTCCAATTGAAGAAGAAATACCTCTTCTTCCAATTAAAATAGTTAGTGAACACGAAATAATAAATGGATCAACAATTCGGCCAAAATCTGTTGGTGTAGCTATACCTAACAGACAAAAACAAATTAATTCTGAAAAAGAAAAGGTTTTAAATAAAACAAAAGAGGAAGGGGAGGAAGAAGAAGAAGAATTAACAACTTTAGAACCTTTAATTTCTCCAGAACAACATATTTTGGCTGGCTCTGTTATTTCACTTCAAAATGAGACTGTTAAACCAAAAACTGAAAATTCTGAAGTAAAATCTATTGAAGAAGGAGAGAAAGAAGCTTCTTCTACTCCAAGAGAAGGAAATGTTGAAAGTTTAGTAGATAAAAGAGTAGAACAAGAAGAAACAACAGCGATAACAATTAATCCAAAAGAATCTGAAGAAAATAAAGAATTTGTTGGAGGAGGAGGAGGTATTTTTGAAGAGAAACCAAAAAATATTTCAGAAGAAACATTAAAAACAGAAGCAACATATGAAACACCTTCAACTTTATTACCTTCAACAACTCCAATTATTCCAATAATTGCAGCAAATCCGTTGGAAGAAAATAATTCTGAAAATAAAACAAATGAAGAAATACCTCCTCCCTCAACAACACCAAATATTCCTTTAGCAGCAACAACTGCTGAAAGTGAAATTGGGGGAATTGTTCCTATAATTATAGAAAATGAAAAGAAAAATCAAACTGGAGATTTGAATGAAGAGGAAACAAATAAAACAGAAAATGAAGCAACATCAACAACAACAATAAATCCTCAAAATGAAGTATCTCAAACAAATACAAGTAGTCCAGGTTTTGGTCCTTTAACTATTGGTGGAACAACAATAAAAGAAGGAAATGAAACAACTTTTGCTTCAGAATCAACAACATTATCAACATTAGGAAATGCTACAGTTTCTGCTAATGAAGGAATAATAAATGAATCGACATATCCATCAGAATTTGGATCGACAATAAAAGAAAATGAGGGAAATAAAACAAGTAATGAAGAAAGTAATATTGAAGGTGAAGGATCTGTTATTAGTGAGGAAATACAAGAAAAAGAGTCGAGTACTTCAATTGGACCCGAAACTGAGCCAAAAGTATTTGGAATAGCACAGGAAGGGCAAAATGAAAGTTCTGAAATTCCCCTTGAGAATTTATCTAATTTTACAACAATTCCTACACCAATTTCTACAGGAACAGAAGAGTTGGAATCGACAAAAGAATCGAGTCATGAAACGGAAATTGAAGGCCCTATAATTCTCGGCGGTTCTGAATCAAATTTAAGTGAAACAACAACTGAATTAACTTCTGAAACTGAAAAAGCTATTGAAACAAATGTTACTAATCTGACCGAAGCAACAACTAATCCTACTAAAACTGAAGGGATTGGTATTGCAACAACACCTGAAACATATGAAGCAAATGCCACAGATTTGGGAGCAACTTCAACCAAAGAAACAGTAATTGGAGTAATACCAATTGAGAATGAAAAAGAAGTTTCGGAAATTCCGAGTGGTGTTGAAGCAAATACAACAGAAGCAGCACGTAAAGAATTAGTTACGGAAACATCATCTGCTACAGAGGAAGGGGTTTTAGGTGCAGTGCAACCTTCAGAAATGCCAATCACTTCCGAAGTAAATTCTACAACTCCTGAAAATTATGAAGCAAATACTACTTTTAAAGGGGTTACTGAAATAGTTTCTTCAACATCAAAAGAGGAAGTATTTGGAGTTATACCTTTAGGAGGGGAACAAGAAACGTCTGAAATTCCACCAGAATCAACGTTGGCTAATAAAGAAATTGAGGCAACACAAGCTTCAGAAATAAATACAACGACAACTCCAAAGACTTACGAATTAAATGCTACATCTACGGGAATTTCTGAAGCAACTGTTCCAACATCAAAGGAAGAAATATTCGGTGTAATACCACCACATGAAGAAGGAGAATCCTCAGAACTACCAGCAAGTTCAGAGGTAAATACTACAACTATAGGAATATCATCAAATACTGAAGCTGGAATTACAAATGAAACTTTATTAGAAACAACGCCAATTTCTGATCTAGAGAAAGAAAAGCTTGGAGCAATAGCGGGAGCAATTAGCGTTATTGGTGCTTCAGAAGAAAATACAACAGCACAAACTGCTAATAAAACAGAAGAATCTACTCATTTTGATGAGAATAAGGCAAATATGACAAAGGGAATTGAAATAGAGGGAGTAATAAGTTCATTAAACGAGACAAAAGAAGAAACACCAATTAGTTTATCAACAACAAATGGTTTTGAAACAACATCACAAGGAGAATTTATTGCTGCAATGCATGAAACAGAAGCAGAAACTTTAGAGAAAGGTTTAGAAACAAATGCAACAACTTCAATTCCTGAAGTAACATCGGCAAAGGAGTCAATAGCAATAGTAGGCTTAGGAAGTGAAGAAGTTGGAGCTTCTGGTGAAGTTGAAACAAATGCTACAACACCGAGCACTTATGAAGCAAATGCTACATCTACTTCAGCAGCTCTAGCAACACCAGAAACCGTGGAAACAGGCTCTGGAATACATGGAGTAGATGAAGAATCTTCGGAAATTACTGCTACAACACAAATTGTCTTCGAAACAACTACAGCAATAACATTAGAATCAACGCCGTCAAAAGAATTATTAGCAGTAATTGCCCCGGGAAATGTTGAGAACGAAACTTTTGGTGCAACAAATGCTACAACACCGAGTACTTATGAACTAAATACCACGGCTTCGGTTATTTCTGAAACAATTTCGACAATACCAGAAAATAAAACAAAAGAAGAAATATTTGGAGTAATACCGTTTGAAGGTGGAAATGAAGAATCCTCTAATACCAGTTTAAATGCAACAACACCTGAAACTACTAAACCAGAAGGAATTATTAATGAGGCAGCTGAAATAAATACTACAGCAACTCCTGAAACTTCAGCAACAAAAGAGGAAATATTTGGAGTTTTACCACCACATGAAGAAGAAAAGGAAGCTTCAGAATTACCAGCTGAATTAAATCCGGAATTAAATACTACAACTCCTAGTAGTTTTGAAGCAAATATTACGGCTACAGGTGTTTCTGAAATAAGTTCAACATCTAAAGAAGAAATATTTGGAGTAATACCATTTGGAAGTGTGGGAGAAGTTTCTGAAATTCCGAGTGTAGAAAATGTTACAACTATATCGACTAATGAAACGATAACATCCATCACTGAAGCTAACAATGCTACAACTGAAATACTTGGAACAACAACATCTACTTCAGAAACAGAAAATCTTGGAGTAGCAGCGGGATCTTTAGGCATCCTTGGTGCCTCTGAAGCAAATATTACTGCATCTGAAGGAACACCGACTAATGAAACAGGAGAAATTATCGGAGCAGCACAAGCCTCAGAAATACCAACAAATGCTTCTAATTCTCAATTAACAGGATTTGAAATTGAAGGAGTTATTAGAAAAATAAATGCAACACAGAAGGAAGTGCCAGAAACACATTTTGTTGCCGAAGAGAATAACACAAGTGCACCTACATTATTCCAAACGACAGAAAGTGGAGAAGGAATTTCACCTGAACATGTGGCTATTTTGGGGGCTGGAATTGGTGCTGCTTCTGAATTCAATGAAACAACAGGTAGTACTATAACAGCTGAAGTATCAACATTGGAAAGTGAGAAAGAAGTTTCTCAAGTTTTTGGCAGTCCTTTTGAGATAAATGCAACAACTCCTTTTGCAAATTTAATATCAACACCTGAAACTGAAGCAATTGGTATATTTGGAGTAAAACCTGAAGAGGATAAAGAAGTTTCTGAAATTCCAAGTGGAGTTGAAGCAAATCAAACATTAAATAATTCAACACTACCATCAGAAACATCAACACAAATTGGGTTAGGGGAAGGAATATCTTCTGGAGCAAATATTTCAACAACACCTGAAACTGAACCAGAAATATTTGGAATAGCACACGACGGAAAAGAAGAAAATATTCCTTCAGGTATTGAATCAAATGCTAGCACAGTTGCAACAACATCGATAAATGAAGCAACAGAAAATGCAACAATAGAAGCTTTGGAAGGGAATAATGCTACATCCTCCACAATAACTCCAACTGAAGGGCCAATAAATGTCGTTGTTTTAGGACCTTCTGAGCTATTTGGCGGGGCTACAGAAAATGCAACTATTCATCCTTCTGAAAATGAAGAAACAACAATTGGAGGAGAAATTGGTGTTTCTGAAGGAAATGTTACTTCTAAATTAGAAACATCAACAAATGAAACAGAATTAATTGGAGCAGTAACTGAAGAAGGGATTGAAGGAAATATTTCAACAACATTAGAAAATAAAGTAGAGGGAATATTTGGAATAATACCTGAAGGCGAGGAAGGGAATAACACTACAGGAAATGTTACTGAAGCAACAATTTCTGAAACAAATACAACAATTGAGGGAATAAACACAACAACAGAAGGGTCACCACCAATTAATGAAGCCGTTTTGGGTGTACCTTCTGAATTATCTGAGGGTGCTACAGAGAACAACACTACAATTCAACCAGAAGAATTATTAACAACAATTTCTGAAGGAAATATTTCTTCTGAATTTTCGACGATTTCTTCTAATTCAGAAACAACAGAAGAAATGCCAGAATTAATTAATGCTGTTTCTCAAGTTGTTGATGTAAAGAAAATTGTAGTAACAGAAGAACCAACAGTTGCTGCAGTTACAAAACTTGTAGATTTTGTTGGAAGTAATGGAACTATTGGGGAAATAAGGCCACACAATATTCTCAAAGATTTTGGAAATCGAGGTAAATAAAGAGGGGGATTTTGGGGGATTTTTGAGAGGGTTCTAATATTTGGGTAATTTTGGGGTGTATAATTTTTCTCAGAATTAATTTAAAATTTTTTAAGAATGTAATGGAGAATTATTATTTACTGGAGAAATATTAACAGATTATACCCAATCATTTGAAATAATAATTGCTTCAGAAACAGTTTATGAATGTGTAAAAACTTGTTATTTATTAAATTGTACAAAAGCTGCATTTACACATTTTCCTCGTTCAGCCTGTTTACTTCATTTTAATTTAAATGAATTACAATTAGAACAAAAATGTGAAAATGAAACAGAATTTGTTTCTAATTGGAATTTTAAGCAAATACCTGAAGTTGTTTCAATTAAATGTATTAAATGTGAAAAAGAAGAAAAAGGAGAAGAAAAACAAAAATTAAATGAAAGGGTTTTAAGGGATGAATTTAGTTTAGATAATTTTAGAAGGTTTTTAAATGAAGAACAACATAATCATTTAATTAATCCACAAGGCTTGTTAAATTTAAAATATTAACTTACTTAGCATCTTTACGGTATTAATATTTCCCTCTATCAGTAGTTGGACGTCCCTATGGCGCTTTAAATCTAAAATTCTGGTGTCTTAGGATCAGAAAATCAAAAATTTGGAATTTTTTCTTGCTTATTTCTTAAGTACGAGGCCAAAATTCCAACCAAATCCCCTATTATTTAATAAACACCTTTATATTTTTGTTTCTCAATTAATATAGTAAACCAAAAATAAAATACAAAATTATTCAAAAAAATATAGGTATTTATTTAGGAGTAACAACAAAATGTTCTGGTCGAGTAGAATTTAATATCCATCCAGTACCTGAATTACACCTTCTTGACATAACAAATGATGTACCTGCAGATACAGCTGCTGATTGTGCAAGAAAATGTTTTGAAACTGTTTGTGTTGTTTTAATCAAAGAAAATATTTTTTTCTTTTTAAAGCCAAATTGTTTAATTGCCGGTTTTATTCCAACCCCTGGACACGAATCTTCTGGGGGTGTTTGTTTATTAACTAAAAATGTTGAAGGAAAAGATAATTGTACTCAATCCATTCGTTTAACAACCCAACATGCTTCCACTGTCCCTTTTTTAATTAATTGTATTAAATGTACAGGTAGAGGAATTGAGGGATTTAAAAATTAAAATTTTTTTTTAAAGACTGTAACTACAGTCTAACAATTGCTGATTCAAAAAGGGTAATTCTTGATTCAACAAATTCCATTCCAACACAAACTATTAATGAATGTGCCATCAAATGTGCAGAAAATAAATGTTCTTTGGCAAAATTTGATCCAAATAAATTGATTGTTAGTGTTAATTAATTGGGGAGAGGGGGGGGGGAAGTGGGGAGGGGGGATAGAAGGAGGAAATAATTGAGGAAGGAGGGGGGGGGGAGGGGATTTAAATTAATTTTCTGAAAAAAATCTTTTTTAGTGCTCATTTGCTGCATCAGATAAATTACCTTTACCTCCAGTTGAATTAGGATGTCCAATAGAATCTGGTCTGCAAACTGATGGAATTTTTGATGTTTTTCTAAATTGTGTTAAATGCAGCAACATTTAAATATAAACAATTAATTACTGCCATTATTTTTAAAAAGAAATTTAAAAAAAAGAATTCTAAAATTATTTTAATTTTTATAATTTGTTGCGATTTAAAAACAAAATTTGGATTAACACAAACTGTTTTTTGATTCTAAAATTATTTCCAAATTTTGTATTTTGTGATCTCACAAAAGGCTCAAAAACATTTCTCTCTTTTAATTGTATTTCCTTTTTTTTTTAAATAAATAAATTAATTAATTAATTATGTTTATCTTTTTAATTTTTAAAATTATTTAGAGCAATTTATGCTTTAAATTAATAACAAAAAAGTTTTAAAATTTAGATACATAGTTTTCTCAGATTTTGAAATTTTTCGTTTGCTTCTCAAAGCCTTTTTTACTTTCTAAATATTTTTTTAAATAAAAAAAGTTTTTAATATATTTATTGTAATAATTTAAAGTTTAGAGAAAGATTATAGTAAATTTATTTATTATTTTAGATTTAATCATCCGGGAATTTTTCTTTAATTAATGGCTAGAAGGAAGACTTTAAACTTTGGTTTACATATATTTATATATTTTTAAATTTCAATTAAATATTCTCATTAATTTTATAAAATTTAAAATAATATTTATTTATTTGTTTATTCATTTATTTTAACATTTATTCTTTTAAAAAATAATTTTAATATTGTCCTCCTCTTTATTTGCAACAAAATTTTAATGTCCTCAGTCACTCATCCATTCATTTGTCTATTAAAAAAATAGCAACACATATTTAACATTTAAATTTTTATTTTTTTTTGTTAATCATTTTGTCTTATTCATTATTTTAACATTTTTATTTTAAATAAAATTTTGAAAAAAAAAAGATTTTTTTTAATTTTGGAGGGTATATAAATTGAGGAAAAATATATTTTATATAACAAAAAATAAAAATAAATATTCTTTTAATAAATAATAATTTTGGGGATTTTTAGAAGATTAATTTATTCATTTCCTAAAATTCTTAACGTTTCAAAATTTTCATTTAAATTATTTTTTTAATTTTTAAGACCCCAAATAAAAAATGAGGTTTTTTAACTTAATTCCTTTATTTTCTTTAATTATTTCTAATTTAATTCTTTTGGTCTCTTCCGGTATTTAAAATATTAAAAATAAATATATTTTTATTTATTTTAAATGTAGCCGAGCCCCAATTTCGAAATCCAGTGAATTGCGCTAATTTGCCTGATGGAAATTATGTTTGGGGGTGTAGTCGGTATTTCTTTTTAAAAAGAAAATATTTTAATAAAAATATTTTAAAGTTTTTATTCAATTTGTACTAATGGACGAGAATTAGCAATGAATTGCTATCATAATTTAAAAGTAAAATTATTTTTTTATAAACAAACTTCCCTCAATTAAAGCTTCAATATTTAAATTATTAACCATTTTATTAAAATAGGATAAAAATTCTGAAAAAATTTTTTAGTTAAATCCAGGAACAAATCAATGTGAAGAGCCCCAGTCAATCCCGATTTGTGCAAATGGAGGATCTGCCTATTCCCATCAATTATATCGAGCTAAAGATCCATTTACTTGTGATGGCAAACCAAATGGGGAATATGAATCAAGTGTTTGTTCTTCCACGTATATAACTTGTGATAATGGAAAGAAAATTGAAAGAGAATGTCCTTATGGTTTGGCATATAATCAAAAGGCTGGGGCTTGTGATAGAAAGGAAAAATGCAAAACTGGTAGTTAAATATAATTTTTTTTAGTTTAAAAAATTAATTTAAAAAATATTAAAGAAGGAGCACCGGGTCAAGGAAATGTTCGAAAAATGCGAGCTTCGTGAGGAATTTTATTTTTTACTCCTTCCGTTTAAAAATATATTCTATATTAATTATTAATTTTTAGTAGTCCATTTGAGGATAGTTTCGGAGGATATGAAGCACCAATTTCTAAATTTGCCGGTGGACCTCCAGCTTTTGTTCCTCCAATTTATGCGCCTCCCGCTTATGGACCAACACCTCAACCAAATCCTCCAACAACTACAAAACCGCCACCTGTTTATATTCCTGTTACACCCGCTCCACCAGCATATATTCCCCCGCAACAACCAGCACCGCCAGCATATGTTCCTCCTCCGCCAGCACAACCTCCTGCTTATGCACCTCCAGTTAATAAACTTTTTAGTTTAATCCTTCTAAACTTTCCAGAGCTATGTCCCAACACCTCCACCCGCATATAACCCAGCACCTCCACCTGCATATGGCCCAGCACCTCCTCCACAGTTCGACTGCTCATCAAAGCCTGATGGTTTATATGAATTACCTTCTGGAGGTTGCACTGATAAATTCTGGAAATGTGCAAATCAACGAGCATTCCTTTACCAATGTCCTCCAAATTTGGCATATTATGCTGTTGGAAAATGTAAACAAATTTTAAAAATTTTTTAAAATATTTTTAAACATATTTAGACTGTGACTACAAATTTTATGTTCCTGCATGTGGAGGATCACCCCCACCAGTACAAACATCCACTGCTGGTCCTCCTCCACCCCCTACTTATGACTGCTCCAAAAAATCTGATGGGCTCTACGGTGCTGAAAATTGTACCTCTTCTTATTTCTTTTACTGTTCTGCCGGTAAAACAACTGTAATGCAATGTGCTTCGCCACAATTGGTCTTTGATGAAGTTAATCAAGTCTGTGAATATTCTGGAGACTGTGGGAAGCAAAAGTACGTGGAGTTTTCAGATAGTTAAATGAGAATAAATAATAAATTAAATTTAAGGCCGAAACCACCCAGCTACGGACAACCACCAGCACCTCCAAGCTACCAACCACCAGCACCTCCAAGCTACCAACCACCAGCACCTCCAAGCTACCAACCACCAGCACCTCCAAGCTACCAACCACCGGCACCTCCAAGCTACCAACCACCGGCACCTCCAAGCTACCAACCACCAGCACCTCCAAGCTACCAACCACCAGCACCCCCAAGCTACGGACCACCTGCACCTCCATCTTATGGATTATACCGAAAAAAACGCAATATTCCTCAACCACCACAATATCCACCCCCACAACCTATCCAGCCTTATGTACCACCTCCCGTTTCTTTCAATTGCAGCGGAAAAGCTGATGGTTATTATGTAAAGGATGGATGTTCAAAAGATTATTATACTTGCACTAATGGTAATTAACTATAGATTATTAACTAAAATTAATTTTCTACTCCAAATAGGAATTGCTTATTCAACAACATGTCCAGGCTCTCTTTTCTTCAATATTGCCTCAAAACAGTGTGACTACAAAGAAAATTGTCCACCCCCTCCTACACCTCCTCCACCACCACCACCTTCTCAATATTCTCCTCCAGCACCAATTCCTCCACCACAAACTCCCCCACCTCCACCAATTAGTTGTAAAGGAAGGAAGGATGGATTTTATTATCAAAACGCTTGTGAAGGACATTACTATGTTTGCAGTGGGGAAAGTGCTTTTACTCAATATTGTCCAGCTGGAACTTTGTTTGAACCATCAAAAGCTGAGTGTACATTTAAAGAAGAATGTGGAAAGACTCCTCCACAGCCATATACTCCCCCACCAAGGTAGTCTACCTTTCTTTTTGGAAAAATTCTAAATATTTAATTCTTTCAGTGTTTATACTCCACAACAAGTCCCCCTGGTTCTCCTGATACCGTCAAAATTCCTCCTTCTCCTCCATCCTCTCCCTCTTATGGAGAATTTAATTGCCATGGAAAAGCTGATGGTTATTATTATCAACAAAATTGTCAACCAATTTGGATTATCTGTACTGGTGGATATACTTATAAACAAAATTGTGCGCCCGGAACTCTTTTTGACTCAAAACAGAATGGATGTACATTTGCTGCTGAATGTGGCAAAACAGGAGAAGGAAAATAGTAAAAATATATTAATTAAAAAATAAATAAAATAAATAAATATTCGTTTTTGTGTAATTAATTAATTAAATGTTAATGTGCAATAAAAATTAAATTATTTAATAAATAAATAAATATTATTTGTGTATTTGTCTATTTATTGTATAGTATTTGTCTAATAATTAATTTATTTACTAATTTAAATAATTAATTGTACTTTTTCTTAAAGAGGAAATTGAAAATAATTTTAAAAATTAAATATAGTATATGTAATATTGTTTGGAATTTAAATATTCTAGTAATTTTTTAAATTTGTATTTGTTCTTTGTCTGTCTTTCTTAAAAAATTAATTATTTTTTAAATTAATTAATATTTATTTAATTAGTTTAACAACAATAACAACAATTAATTCTTCAAATTCTCAACAACAATTAATAGAATATTCTTTATCTAATAATAAATTAAAAATTCTTCCTCCTCCCCATTTAATCTATTCACAACCACAAATAAATGAATGTTTAAATAAAAAAGACGGCTTTCTTTTAAATTCAAAAAATTGTCAAAATAAATATTTTGTTTGTTCTGGGGAAAGGAAAATTGAATTAAAATGTCCGGAAGGATTAGTTTTTGATTATAATTTTGGGAAATGTGAATATTTAATTAATTGTGATAGAAAAAATAAAAAAGAATTGAGGAGGTAATTTTTAAACAAAAAAATCTTTTTAATTACCTAATTTAAAAGTAATATCTACCCAACAACAATATTACCCCCAATTTTACCTCAAAGTTTTGGTTCTTTTTCTTGTAAAGAAAGAATTGATGGTTATTATTACAAAATACCCTGTTCTCCAAATTTTTATATTTGTATGTAATTATTTAAATTTATTTAAATTCCTTTTTAAATTTAAAAAGGTGTTGGGGGATTACCTCAACAATTAACATGTCCAGATAAACTTGTTTTTGACCCAATTAATGTTTTGTGTCAATATAAAGAAGTTTGTGGAAAACCGGCAAAAAAGTAGTTTTTTTTGTTTTAAATTTAAATTAATTTTTAAATTTTAATTTTAAAGTAATTCTTCTTTTACTCGTTCTTTTGAGGATTTTAATTGCAAGTAAATTAATTTTAAATTTTAAAATGTAAATATTTATTTTTAATTAAAAAAGAGGTAAAAGAAATGGTTATTATGCAAAAGGAAATTTAAATCAAAAAGAGGAAGGAGAATGTTTTGTTTCTTCATATTTTTATAGTTGTTTAAATGAAGAATTAAATATATTAAAATGCCCAGAAAATTTGGTTTTTTAAAAGAGAAATTAATTTAAAAATTAATTATTTAAAGGTATTTGATATAAATAAAGTATCTTGTCAATATAAAGAGAATGTTTGTCCAATAAAACAAAAACAAAATAAGTAAAAAATATTTTTTTTAAATAAAACCTTTAATTAAAGTTCTAGAAATCACCAACAATATACAGCTAAATTAATACAAAAACACCAAACAATTCCTTTAATTTATCCTTCTCCCCTTCCACCAATTAATATACATCCAGCACCTTCACTAATTTATTCTGCCACTTCACAACAAGGAATTAAAGGTATTTTTAAAAATATTTTAGGTTATATTTAATAAAAATTTTTAAAAATAATATTCTTATCCAAAATAAAGTCGAAGATAAGATTTTTGATAAAAATTAGGAACTTGATTAATTGAATTATTGATTTTAATTAATTTTGACAAAAATCAAAAAATTAGCATTCCTCTCCTATTATTTAGTGAAGAAGAGGTTTCAATTAAATTCTGTGTACGCAGAATCTGTGGAATAATTGAAACAGAATTTTCTGTGGTCTGTGCACAGAATGCAGAATCTTTGGGACATCTGAAATGGGGCCCTGATTATTATTTAATGAATAAAAAAAGTTTATTTAAAAATTAAGGTATTCAATTACCTTCACGTCCAATTAATTTGCCAACCCCAACAATTCTTTTTCTCCAACAAAACCACCAATTACCACCAAATATTTGTCTAAATAAAACAATTAACAAATTATTTACTAATTCAAATAATTGCAATAATTATTTTTATTTTTGTCCAACAAAGGAAGGGGAATATTTACATAAATTAGATTGCCCTTTAGGGCTTTTCTTTGATGAGGATAAACAACAATGCAATTTTAGAGAAAATATTAAAAATTGTGGAGGAAAAGGAAATAATTTAAAAAAGTTTTTTTAATTAAAAATTGACACAAATTAATTTAATATTTCACGAAAAAAGGGCAGAAAATAATATATTTTTAATATTTTTCCCTATTATATTTTACAGTCAATTAAACAGACATTTTCTAAATTAAAAAAATATTTTCCAAAAACCCCCAAAAAACAACTTCAAAAAATTCAAAAAAAAAGTTTTTTTGATAAAAAAATATTTTTCTTCTTTTAAAGTTTATTTAAAAATATACCAACAAAACATTATACAAAAGAAAATAATATCTATCAAGAATTTAATTGTACAAATAAAGCTATCGGGTATTATAGTTATGGATGTAATGGGATTTATTATAGGTAAATTAATTAAATTTTTAAATTAAATTTATATTTAAAAAAAGTTGTACGGGGACAACAATTTATTTATTTAATTGCCCTTTAAATTTAAAATATTCTCAAAAAGCCTCTCAATGTGATTATGATGAAAATGTGCCAGAATGTAGTGGAAAACAATTAAAAAATCCAAAACAAATATTAAAAATAAAAGAAAATCCAAGTTTTTTTTTAAATTTCTTTTAAATTTCAATTTTTAAAGTTTCAAATCAATGTATTAATTTATTTAATGGAATTTATGGAGAAAATTGTTCTAGTTATTATTTTATTTGTTTAAATTCTCAAATTTATGATTATAAATGCCCAGAAAATTATTTATTTAACAAAAATACTAAAAATTGTTTATTAAAAGAATATTTGCCTGAATGTAAAAATGAGGAAATGTTAAAAACAATTGTTGTATTTTAAATAAATTGAAGAAAAGATTAAATTAAAAATTAGATTATTTTTTTTCAAAATATTTTTTGTAAATTTTTGTAAATATTTTTTAATAAAAATTTTGGCACTATTTTGTATAATACTGAAAAATGAGGGTTTTTTCCTATAAATTTTTTCCCTATTTCTCTGTTTCCCTTTTTAAAAAAGTAAATAATAAAATTAATGGAGGGATTGATTATGGAAAATTTTTGAGATTTCCATTAGATAAGTTTTAGCTCCGAGGACAAATGTTGCACGTTTAGTAAGTTTATCTTTGTAATGGCACATTTACAAGCTGTCCTGAACTTTGAATATTTCTTATAAAATTTCTCTTGAAAAAATTAAAGGGAACCCTAAATTGGATGGATTCGATCATTACGGATAGAGTATAAACGATATTAGTAATCCCGTTTAAAAGTGACTGTCTGGAGATAACAGACTAATATTCGCTTGCTAAAGTCTTACTTTTTTCATTCTAAACATATCCAATATAGAAATAGTTACGTATACTACATGGATTTGGATACTGTATATGCTAGAATAATTACCACCCTCTCTCAAATAATTACCGTCTAGCGAGAGGTTGAAACAATAATTACCCAGGGTAATTATTCAAGCATATACAGTAAATAACATTAAATAAATTTAAATTTCCGCCAATACAGTAATCACGATGAAAATAATTCCATTAAACATTAAAAGAGAAAGACAAAAAATATAAGAAAGTAAAGTGAGAGTTAGAGAAACTCTACACTATTTTCTTAGCTTTCTCTATTCATAAATACAGGGTGAGGAGTCATACACAAATATTAGGGAGTAAATGCAAACAAAATTTGGCTGAGGGTTTTACTATTTCGTAGCCATTTACATCCTTCTTGTGTACGTGTGTGTTAGAGAATGTTTTGGGTAGAAATTAATGTGTTTTTCTTAAAATTGTTCTTGTTATTATCAGTAGCATTTTCTTTGCACCTTCAAGAGTTAAATTACTTAAATTCTTAAATATTAAACATTTAATTATTTTAAGTTTTTTTTTTATTTCAGATAATTTGTTTTGCAAATTTCTATTTGGTTGCTATTACAGTTTAAATAAATTTTTAAATTTTATTTTTGCTTCTATTAGAAGCTTCATGGAACCTCCAGCTGTAACATCATGTGGAGTTGGTAGTCATTCATCTTCTAATAGTGGTGGAAATATTCAGCAACATGGCCAAACGCCAAAGTATTTTTTGTTTTTATTTCTTTTTATAAACTGTTTATCAATTTTGTATTTAATTTAAGAAATTTCCTTGACATATTCTCACTTTTTTAATTTAAGGCGCAACAGTTTGCCTATTAGCTTTTTACAAATAGAGCCTCAAATTAGTTTCAATACTCCGGCCCGTCATTTTGAAGAATTACCTGAAAATTTTTTGGAGACCATTTCCCCCCAACAACACGCTGATGGTCTACATGGCGTTTCTGTTAATCATCACGATGGGAGGGGTGAAGGAACGTCGACCGGAATGCCACAACTTGCTTCACTTACCACTGTTAGTATGGCTGGTTCTGCATCAAATGTTTGTGTTCAAGGAAGCAGGTTGTCTTTTATAAAATTATTTTAATTTTTATTTATTTACAGTGGATATGCAAATCTAATTTCAATGCCTAACTCCTCTCACTATATTTCATCACTCAAGATGGAATCAATGGACCACTTGGAGGGGTCGCATCATCAAATGCATGGCACGAGTCAGATCGAGAAATCGACGTAAATATTTTTTATAATTTTTAATTAGTTGATACTTATCTAATTTAAATTTTTTAGTTTTGGGAATGGAACTGCTGCTGGACTTCTTTCTCCTTTACAACTTGAGAGCAATCGGAATAATGACAATAGTGCTTTAGGACTTCTTGCCAATTCTGTAGTTCATCACCATCATCATCATAGGACAAATGGTGGTGGTGGAAGGACTAGTGATTTATTAAGTGGAATTCGCCGTAATAATGTATCTTACATAAAAGAAGAAGAAATTAATCCATCAGAAATGGGTGCTGGTGGTTATCAGGTAAAGAAGATTATCATATTGCTTGTGAAATTGCTTTATTTTTTTTATTAGAATCATGACTATGAGACTGGATATTCACTAGGCCAACCAACCGCCCAAGAACTTGAAAGGATGGCAAATGCCGAGACACCTCCAGCTCTTAGTAATGTTGAGATCACTTCGTCATTGCTTGCATCACTTTCTCGAGAATCGGTTTTAAAATACATTTTTTATCATTTCTTTTTTTTCAGCAGTCTAGCCCTCAACCTACTCATTTTATTGTTCATCAAATGGCCCATCACTCTCGACCTCCAGCATCTGTCGGACCTCAGCAAATATCACAATCGGCACATTCTCAACAATCGCTCCAACAGAGATTACAGATTCAGGTTTTTTTAATTGTTTCTTGATATATTTTGAGAAATATATTTTATTTTGAGAATATCAGTAACAAAATTACTTCTTTTTTATAAAGTAAAAGACATTTTTCAGCAACATTTAATTCACCCTGGAAATGCCCCTACACCTGCTGCTATTTCTTCTCCGATGCCTGCACCTCGACGTTCTAAGTCAAAAATGTCTCAAAATCAACAACAATTACTTCTTCAACAACAACAGCAACAAGAAGAGGCTGTTGTACATAATCAGTTAGCTGCTGCAGCACAGGAGGCTTCAAGCAATCCTATTAATATAGATGTTTATGCCGCATTAGGGTCTGAACTTACTAGTGGTAAATTAAATTTTAAAGTTTATTTTATCTTATAAATTAAGGAATTGTTTCCCCGACTTCTTATCACCAATCATCAGGAATGGTAGATCCTTTAAATGCTGAAATTGACGACGAAATTTATATTGATACAAATGATTTGTGTAAACGTGTTGCTTACGAATTAAAGGTTTTTGAAACGATTAAATTAATCCTTCTGGTTTAATTTTAGCAACATTCAATCCCTCAAGCTATTTTTGCTGAGCGTATTTTATGCCGTAGTCAAGGTACTCTTTCTGATCTTTTGCGTAATCCAAAGCCATGGAATCGTCTGAAGTCTGGTCGTGAGACATTTAAACGAATGTACAATTGGTTACAACAGCCTTTACACATTCGTTTAAGTATTTTGGATATGTATAAAGGTTAAAATTCTTTTGAAACTAAGTTTTAATAAAAATAATTTTAAGGTCCAATGCCCTCAGGCATTATTCCACCACCAACTCCAGCACAGAATTCACGTCATCATCACCGACGAAGAAGTGCTGGAGAAGACGGACAGCCATTAAAACGTCCACGCCTAGTTTTCACTGATATTCAAAAACGAACACTGCAGGTATATTTTATTGTTCAAATGTTGTTTTTAGGATTATTATAACTTCATATTTTTATAAAAATATTTTTAGGCAATTTTCAAAGAAACTCAAAGACCAAGTCGTGAAATGCAACAAACGATTGCTGAGCATCTTAGGTTGGATATGTCCACAGTTTCTAATTTTTTCATGAATGCACGTCGACGCTCTCGAAATGGAAATGGACTTGGATGTGATGAGCCTGCTCCTTATCAGCAGGTAATTTTCAAAATAATTTTTTCCTTTTTAAAAATAAAATCCAAGATATTTACGTATATACCTTAATTAAATTATAGCTAAATAATTTCTTCGACAATAACTCAAATAATTCAACATTTCAAAATAATTACACTGATATTTTCCAAAATATGACGTTCCCATTTTATGGAGACGTTCAACAATATATAAATATATAAAAATATAAAATGGATGTTTAATTTAGAAAAAAGGAAAAGGCTAAAAAAATTGGGATATCTTTTTTTATTAAATATTGGGTTTTCTGTTATACTTAAGATGTCAAAATCAAAGGGTAAAAATATATTAGAAATCATTTAAAACAGAAGAATGTTGTAAATCCCTAAAATAGGTCAATTTTTTTTTAAATAAATTTAAATAAAAGTTGAAAATTTTTTAGATTCGAACAATTACCCCACCTCCTGATACACCCCCAACAAATGATGAACAAAATCAATTCGATGAAGACCTAGATGAATCAACACAGCAACTTCTTGACCAACACTCTCAAATCCAACAACATATTATACATCCAAAATCTTCACCATTATCTGCCGCCCCTTCATCAGCTGAAAATCTCAGCCTTATTGAACAAACTGTTGATGAAGTTGTATGTCGAAGTATAGCATATGCGAGGAAAAGTCCTTAACCGCTAAAATAATTATTCCTGCTGATTGGCCACATGCCTGCTATTTTTATATTTTAATATTATTCTATATTATATTTTCTACTCAACTAAAATTGTAAGAAAAATGTTTTTTCCATAAATTTCCACTTTATACATAAATGTTTTACAATAAATCCTACTCATCTACCCACCCATCTCTACTCTTTTCATTTTTTAATAGAGGATACCTTAATTTTTGGCAAACTCTTCCACAAAAAAATTTTAGATCATCTTTTTAGTTATGCGTACGGAAAATTAAAAACCAAAATCGATCAAGTTTTTAAAAAAACAATACTTTGCTAATTTATGAAAAATCATGTGTTGGGAGAGTAGTGTGACATAAAAGTGAGGTTCCTCTTATAAATTTGTATTCTCGTTTTTTATCTAGCCTCGTCCATTCTCAAATTTTTAATAAATTAATTTTGCTAGTTTGATTAGAGAGAACTAAAATTCTTTTACTAAATTTTTTAAGAATTGAAGAAAATTAGGTTTAAACAGCTCTCTAATCACAAATATACCTATGTATCAGGGCTGGGCGAAATCAAAAAATAAAAAGCGAAATGCGAAATGCGAAACTTTTCGCGCTAAAAAATGCGTAATGCGAAAGATGCGAAACGCGAAAGCGAAATTATTTAAAAATTTTAAAAATTTGTATTCATATTCAAAATTATAAATTACGAGATTGTGATGAAAAATAAAAGCATTAGTGCATTTTTTGAAGAAGACTCTTCTTAAGATTGCTTATTATTAGCGCCCGGCACCGGACCAGGCTCCAGGCCGGCTTTGCCTGAGTCCGGGTCCCAATCGGATTAATCCAAAAAAATCCGCCCGCCCCATTTTTCATCTTTTCCTATGAACTTTATAATTTTTCCATTGATCTTTCACATTTTAATATACTGATATCCTCTTAATTCAAATCCCTTTGCTGCGCCGCAGGCGAGAATTTTGAGAATTTTGGAGGTCCTTAAGTCAGATCTCTTTCTTTTTCAGCGCCGCAGGCGAAAATTTTAGAAATTTTGGAATGCCGAGAAGCCAGATTTCTCCATTTTTGTCAATAAATTTGGTACAAATAATTTGGTAATAAATTTGGTCTTGTTCGAGTCGTGCCAGATATGATTAATATTTTATAAAACAAATTTACAATTTAAAATTAAAGTTTAAAAACATTTATTTTTGGAAGAAAAAATTGTTTAAGTCCTATTTCCTATATCTGGATTCGAACCCATCCCCAAAAAACACCAATGTGAACGAAGTCAGTCAACTTAACCACTCCACCATCGACCAACGAAAGCAAAGTGCAGATTATAAATATGTATTTCTTTTCCTTTTCCTTTAAAAATTTCTATGTTAAAATTAAAGAATAAAAAATACTAAATGAAAAAGGCGAAACAAATTTCGCATTCGGACCAAAAAGCGAAATGCGAAATGCGAAACTTTTCGCGCCAAAAAATGCGAGAATGCGAAAGATGCGAAACGCGAAATTGCGAAATGAGCCCAGCCCTGCTATGTATTATGTTAATTTTTTGGAGATAATATATTTTTGCGACTGTATTTTAAAATTCTGACCATTTCTTTATTAATTGATTTACATAACAAGTATTATTATTACTTGAACAAATTTTTTTTAATATTGATTGATTAGTCTTTAAAGGGAAATGTGACTGGGACAATTCATAAAATGACATTAAGGAAAATTTAATTTTTTAAATTAGTGTATTTAAAATACAAATTTATTTTGGTTTAATTGATAGTTGATAGTTTCGAGCATTTTTTAATTTAAGCTCCGAACATATCCGGGGCAGATGAATATCTCTATTCTAACAATAATTTTTTAATTTCTAAACAATTCAGGATTTTTGCAAGATTTCGCCAAATTTTAATTTGAAGAGAAATGTTTTTAGCTGCAAGACGGTTGGCGATTCTTTCTGAGCGTTTTGTTTCTGATAATTCGTCAGCAGTTCCACTCTGGATTGATGGAAAAGCTGTTCAGTCAAAGACTAACAAATGGATTGATTTATTTAATCCGGTAAATTTTTTAAAAAGAAATTTGTACTAGGCGTAACTAACTTATTTTTAATTATGTTATTATTAATGTTAGTTATTAAGTTTTTAATGCTAATTATCAATTTAGGCTACCAATGAGTTGATTAGTAAAGTTCCAGAATCAACCAAGGAAGAAATGGAGAGTGCAGTTGATTCCTGTCTTGATGCATTTAAACTTTGGCGAAATACCTCAATAATTTCTCGACAACAATGCATGTTTAGGTAAAAATGTTAATAAGATTTTGTTGAATAAAATCCTTACTTTGGCAATAAAATCCTTACTGACTTGTGATTTTATTAATATTTTCTTTGGATTTAAGGCTTCAAGAACTAATTAAACGGAATCAAAAAAAGCTTGCTGAGAATATCACGTGCGAACAAGGCAAAACACTTGCTGATGCTGAAGGTGATGTATTTCGTGGGTTACAGGTTTTGTTTAGATTAGATAAATGAATGCAAAAATAATTTTTTAGGTCGTGGAATTTGCATGTAATGCTGCAAGTATGTTACTTGGTGAGCATCTGCCAAAGTAAGGAATTTAATTTAGAAACCGGATATTTTTTTATTTCAGTATTGCAGCAGATATGGAGACTTATAGTTTGAGATTACCACTCGGAGTTACAGCGGGTATGAATATTTAATTGTTGAAAAATACAAGAATTATTTTTGAGGAATTTGTCCTTTTAATTTTCCTGCGATGATTCCCCTATGGATGATGCCGCTATCTCTAGTAGCTGGAAATACAATGTTGTTAAAACCTTCAGAGCAGGATCCTGGTGCTACTTTAATGCTTGTTGAATTAGCAAAGGTTAAGCAAAAATTTGCTACTAATTGTTTATTTGTTTTTTTGTAGGAAGCGGGTATACCAGATGGATGTGTTAATGTTATTCACGGGACACATGATGCTGTGAAATTTATTTGTCAAAATCCAGATATCAAAGCAATTTCTTTCGTTGGCAGTGATCAAGCGGTTTTTTAACATTATTTCAATATTTTTCAGCAATTTTTTCTTTAGGGTAAATATATTTATGAGGAAGGGGCCAAACATGGAAAACGAGTGCAATCAAATCTGGGTGCAAAAAATCACGGTGTTGTTTTGGCTGATGCAAATAAGGAACATGCACTTAATCAGGTAATTAGAAATATTAACCTTTTAAGTATTTTTAAAAGGTCACGGCCGCAGCTTTTGGTGCTGCTGGGCAACGCTGTATGGCACTTTCTACTGCTGTTTTTGTTGGTGAAGCACGGGCATGGATTCCTGAATTGGTTGAACGTGCCCGTCGTTTAGTTGTTGGTCCGGGCTGGGACGCTAGAACAGAAATTGGGCCAGTAATTTCACAAAAGGCGAAAAGGAGAATTGTTGAATTAGTTGAGTCAGCAAAGGCAGACGGTGCTAAAGTTCCATTGGATGGAACAGGAATTCGAGTGAATGGTTTTGAACAAGGAAATTTTGTTGGAGCAACTGTGATTACAGGTGTTAAACCAGAAATGCTTTGTTATAAGGTAACTTTTTTTAATTAATATTTTTTAGAAATAATTTTCAGGAAGAAATTTTTGGTCCTGTTCTTTGTGTACTTGAAGTGGACACTTTGGATGATGCTGTTAATTTAATTAATGAAAACCCTTATGGAAATGGTACGGCAATATTTACTCGAAATGGTGCTGCTGCCCACAAATTTACTTCACAGATAGATGTTGGACAAGTTGGGATTAATGTCCCAATTCCGGTACCTCTTCCAATGTTTTCATTTACTGGCTCTCGTGGAAGGTAGAAAGAAAAAATAGTTTTGAAATTATTAAATATAAATTTTAGTTTTCTTGGAGATGCTAATTTTTATGGCCGTGCAGGACTAAATTTTTACACACAAATAAAAACAGTTACACAACTTTGGCGATCAGAAGATAGTGATGAATCTTCCAAACCGTCAATGGCATTTCCACAAATAAAATAAACGTAAAAAAGATTTTAAATATTTATATATTTTCAGATATTCTATATATTTTTAAACATTCAAAGTATTTTGTAAAAAAATTAATCAGAAAATTAATAAAATGTGTTTGTAAACATTTTGATATATTTTTGTGTAAAATATCCTGCTATAAATTGAAATAAAATACTAATTAAAATTGCCAAAATATTCCAAAAACCAAATTCAGGATAAAGAGCTTAAATTTAAAAAAAATTTTTAAATAAAATTCTAACTAGACCTTTTTGAATTTGTAAATGTGAAATAAATAAAAAAGATTGTGTAAGCACTTTATGTAAATATTGTCCATGTAATTTCCAAATAATTGAAAAAACAATAAATAAATTTCCATAAAAACTAATTAATGCACATTCAAAAGAAAAAACAAAATTTTTGTTTGTTTTGAGAAGAAATTTTTTGATTTTAGGCTGATTTTGAATTTTTTTAGAAATTAATTTTAATTAATTAATTTACCTTTATTTGTTTTATTTGAATTAATAAATTAATTAATAAATAAATAGAAATTGAATAAACCAAAAATTCCATTAAACTTTTTAAAAGACATTCATAAAAAGTCCATTCCAAATCATAAATAATCCTTACAGGATCCGCTAATGATTTCCTTTCTATCCAATCTTCATAGGCGTCACAAAGGAGAAAAATGAAGATAATTCGAAAAAATGACTAAAATGAAATAAAAATATATTTTTTTTTGAATAAAAATTTTACTTTAAAATTAAGATTAATTAATACGTGTCGATAAGCAGATTTGTATTGCAAAATCTTTAAAAAAATAAAATTCAAAAATTTCAAAATTATACCAAATCAATTATAATTAAGGTAATGTCATATTCTATGTATTTATCAACAATTAATCCACAATTTTTCTACAAAAAATTTCTTTAATAAAAATTTGTTCTAAACCCACACATTCAGTCATTCGAATAACATCTCGACTATATTCTGTATAAAGTGACGACGATGGATTAAGACAATTTATACAAACAAATTGTGTTTCTGAGGATTTCTCCATTTAATAAATTAGTATATTTTAATTAGATAAATATGTATTTGATTAAATAAGAGCTCTTTTTGGGCACCAACTTTTTCGTTACCATATTACAGAAATCTCAAGATGCTCATATTCTTAAATAGACAGTTCTGAAATGGGCAATCTGCTATTCTGATAGTCCTTTACCAAAGAAAATATGTGAAGAAATAGTGAAAAAAGAAGAAAAAAACAAAAAGAAATATTAGAATAAGATAAATTAATATAGATTCTCTAGCCTTATTATCTTCTCATGAGTATTTCTCTACTATTTCGTTTTTCTTTTTAAAACTCTATATTGCAGGTTCAACCCGTCGAACAGTATTAAAAAATTTTCTTCTTTTTTAAAGAAAATTTCCTCGTTTTCGAGCCACTTTTTACATTCGCGATTTATTTGCGTTTTGGTTAAATTTTTTGAGACAGAGGAGGGGAATATCCTCCTCGCCAAATATTTATGTTTCCATGTTCAATTCGTACTGAACATTTATGATTTGGTGATTATAGGGAATGGATGGAAAAAATGTTTAAAAGTTGTCGCAATTTGTAAATTTTTTTAATATTGTTAATAAGATAATTCACTATTTTTTAATTTTGACCATTTTTATGGATAAAGACCTTATCAATACTTTCTCTGCTGAAGTTAATGGAGAATCCATAAATAAATTGAGGACGATTGAAAATGAATCTTCTGAACAAGCTGAGGTGGAGGCTGCTGAAAAAGTAATTAATGCAATGCGCTATTATCGACAATATTGCTTGTTGAAATTGAAGCGAAGATCTGATGCCATAAGGTTTTTGTTTTAAATTTTATGTTAAATATTTTTAATTTATTAAAGTAAATGAGTATTTTTCTCTATTGTTTAAAAATTATTTTTTTTATTAAGGAGCCTTCTAGAAGAGGACAAAGCTTTGCTTGTGGCATCTTGTACTGAACATATGAGGCGCGTACGTGAATGTGTGGAACAAAATCAAAAGTTTTTAAATTAAATTTGATTTCAATATTTTTCTAAAAAGATTGCTCGAAATGATTGTCCATTGTGGTGCTAATATTTTGGGCGGAAGTGTTCAAAGTGCCTTGGAGACACATCAATTGCATCCCTCAACGGAACATTATATGACAAAAAGTAAAAGTATCCTTAAACAGCTTGTCCGTGATTGGAGTTCAGATGGTTGGTTTCTATAATATTCCCTCTATATGTCCTTTAATTTAAGGAACGCATGAACGCGAGTCTTGCTACCGTTTAGTGCTAAATGATATGGAGGCATTTTATCCTTCCAGATCGGATGATAATCGACAGAATAGGCAGGATATACAAGTTCTCGTTACTGGCGCTGGTTTGGCTAGACTGGCCTGGGAGCTGAGGAAAATGGGATTTTCTGTCACCGGGAATGAGTTGTAATTAATTTGTTCATAATTTATTTTTTAATTTTAAGGTTTTCATATTTTATGTTATTGACTTCAAATTTTATTTTGAATGCTTGTCATGAGGTTAAAAGTAAAATATAATTTTTATTTTACTTTAACTTTAAGAAAGAGGAATTTACTATTTACCCTTATGTGATGGATTTTTCAAATTCTTGGTGCTATGAAGATCAATTAAAGCCAATTAAATTTCCTGATGTAAATCCTGCTGATATTAGTGATGGAGATAAGGTATTTAAAATTTTCATAATTTCATTAGAAAAAAGCTATCTTTCATTAGAATTCTTCAGAAAGAGAGAATATTAACAACATGACTAGTGGCTTTGCAATGTGTGCTGGTGACTTTTTACAAGCTTATTCAGATGCTGAGGAACATTTTGACAGTGTTGTTTCTGTTTTTTTTCTCGACACTGCCGCTAATCCGATTGCTTATATTCGATTAATCTATAAAATTTTGAGGAAAGGAGGTTTTTGGTTAAATTTTGGTCCTTTGACTTATCATCATGAGGACTCTGATGATACTCTTTCTTTGGAGTTACCGTTTAATGTAAAAATTAACAAATAAAGATTTTTAATTAAAATATATATTTTCAGTCAATTCTACGGCTTGTTGAACAATGTGGATTTAAATTAGAAAAAGTTCTTGATAAAGAGTCGCAAAAAGAATCACCTTCTCGGTATACATGGAATAAGAATTCTATGCTCCAGTATAATTATTATTGCGGGTATTTTGTTGCTCAGAAATGATTTTTTGAATTTATTTTGAAAATTTTTTTTATAATTTAAAATTATGTATTTTTCATATTTTCTTTTGATGCCTCATTAGAGTGATAAAAAATTACAATAGTGTGTTTATTTTATTTATTAGATTGTTAGATCTAGTTTGGTATATGATAATTCTCTAAATCTAGCTTAAATGTACACTAAATCCATCACATTTTAATCAGTTTTATGGAACAAACGTAATGGTCGTAATGCGAGGCGATGGACTTATGTCTGCAGATGTTCGGGTAGGTTTGGTTTTTTATGTAAATGATTTTGAGTGTGATTAACTTTGTTGTTTGGATAAGGGGATTGGTCATTTTCATACATTTAAAAACCTTTAAGGGGACGGCGTTGGATGTTTTGGCAAATACAGAGTACTTGATTGTTGGAGGATCGAATCAAATCTCTCTTTACCTTATGGGATCGTCGAGTACTAGTACAATCACAAAAATTCGTACAAATAGATCATTGGTTCGTTTACTGAAATTCAATCCAGTAATTGCGACTGGACGTTTTGCTAGCGTGGTAATTAATCTTTTAAAATAATTTTAAATAATTTTCCTTAAGTCTGGCCAGTATATTGATATTTATTCACTTGGACAACACGCACAAATTCAGCAGCTAGCTTCATTTACAGCTCAAAATAGAAAAGTTTCTGATTTTTGCTGGTGTCCACATGATGAACAATTAATGGTATCGATGAATATATTTTTTAGAATTAAATATTATTCGTTCTGTTTTTAGTAGATACATAACACTGAATTTAAATATTTTTTCAACTTTTTTAAAGATTAGCTGTGGAGAATCTGATTATGTCAATTGTTGGGATTTACGTGTTAATTTAACCAAGCCGAGCTTTCAAGTAACTGCTGCATTTGGCGCCAACCAATCCAAAGTTGCACCTCATCTTCAAAATTTTCTTTTAACAACGCATGGGTCTGATACACGTTTATGGGATTTGAGGGTTTTATTTTAATATTTATCCCAGCTGCTAACGATGAATAAAATTTTTCATTTTTAGCATACTGTTCATCCGATTATGCAATTTTCAGCTCATGATTCGCGTGTACTTTGTCTTGATTGGCATCCGTTTGTTTTTTCATTTTGGCTTTGCTCCATTTTTTATTCCTTTACAGACATTGCCAGATGCCGAACAGTTTTTTCACTTCTGCGAATGATTCAACACTTAAGGTAGGTTATTTTGCTTATTTTTAATAAATATTTTATCAGCTTTGGAATATGTCAAATCAACAAAATTCACCAACAGTTGTAAGCGTAGCCCAATTTAGTGCTTGGAGACTTGTTTTTTCGGTTTGATTTGGATTTTTTGTCTAAATTAAATCACATTTTAGTTTGAAGGTCAGGAATTGGCTGCATTGGCATTACCACCTGTTAATGCACTGGCACTTTATTCAAATTATGGATTAGAAAATCCACGTCTTCTTCGGGTTTTTTAATCAATTTTTCTATCTTTATCTTATAAATAGGGAATTGAAAGGGACACATTAATGGACGCTGCTTGGTTAAAATCAACCAATACATTAAAGTAAATTATTTGTCGTTGGCCCTTTATTCTTTTATATGTTTAGATCAACCACTAAATTCCTCTATACACTTTCTAATCTCAAACACAAATTATGTCGACATGCAATTGCTTATGAATTTTCTGTATATAATTTGTTTTGAAATAACTTATTCATGAATTTATTGTAAAGAATGAACTTCGGGATGAGATGTCTACGCCTATATTACAAACAAAAGCTGATGAAGAAAGTGACAGGCTTGTGGCGGTTTCTGAACAACGCCAACATTCTGCCAGTGAACTTGAACGACGCCATTTTTCTATATTTGAAGCTTTTGGAGCTGAAAATTTATCAAGCAATGAATCTGATAATACAGAAAATTATAAAATTGGCACATCATTAACTTCTGAATTTGAGAAAAATAAAACTTTTGAAGACGAACATGTCCAACAACAACATAGTCAAATGGTATCGATTAAACGAGAAATATTATTTAATTTAATGTAAAATTTGTTATTGAATTTGATTATCGTTAGTCGATTATTGAATTATTGAAACAACATCAGTAAAAAATAAAATTCCTCATGAAAAAATTTTATTTCCCAAACATGTAATCTATAAATCAGAAATCATTTTTAATAGGATGAACACAAATTAATTTCGCCCACTGCGTGTCAAAATTTGGCACTTGAAACTGAAGAAGGTAGTGTTAGCCCCCGACGTACTACTATTCCAGCATCTGCCTCTTCATCATCACTCGGTCCCATCAAAGGACATCAACAAATCCCCTCCACTATTGGTAGCACTATTCCACAATCACCTAGTGTATTTATTAAATATAAATTTCATATCTTTCTAAAATATAATTTTTTAGTATTCTGAATGGCAACGTTGGATTAAAGCACCAAATACAATAGGAGGTGATCTGTTAACTGAATTAGAAGCACTTAGAAAGCATACAACTGAAGGTCTTTATACAACTGAGGTAGTAGACAAGAAGAAAAACACTCCAAAATTATTTTAGGTTAACTTCACGCGTGCTGCAATCGCTTTTTCATACATGCATTACAATAGATATCGAAAGATAAACTTAATTTTACGCTTCCACAGGGTTTGATTTTTATTTAAAATATTTTTATAGATAATATTATTCAATTTTCCTTATTACATTAATTATAATTTCAGGAATTTATTGACAATGGATTGGTATACATTTTTAATATTTCTTTGATACCTAGAATAAATTTAGGTATTTGTTGACATTTTACAAAATGATTCCCCATTTACTTCTGCCAAAGCATCTTTGTTTCTCACACTTTTACAGCAAGAATGTGATGAACAATTTAAAATTACTAGTGATCAAACTGTTCTTTGTAGAGTACTTAAACAACTTCCTAAAATTATAGACTTAATGAAGGTTTACTAATTATACTAAATCTAATTTTAAGTCTAACAGGTTTTTGGCCCACCTCCTTCTGCTTCATCAGTTATTGATACGTCTAACCAATATCCCTCGAAAGCAAGTTCCCAATCTGATTCTACCGGTGATGAAAGAAATTTGCTTGCTTCCTTAGCTGCCGAAGCAACTGAAAGGGGGTCAATTATTTTTGGTGAAAGTGATACATTAGCACCTAATCATAAACAATTGGAAGCACTTCCTTGCTCATATAAACCATCTCCTTATGATAGTAGAGTCCCCACCCCTAGAAATTGTGGAGCACGATTTAATCGTTCAGGCAAAGTTTCATTATACAAATTAAATATAAAAATATACTTTAGGGTATCTAGTCGCTTTTGGAATTGTTGATCATATTTATATTCGCAAGAATGAAGATTTTTGTGGAGGTGTTTCACATCAATTAACGGTTGATGACAGAAGGGAAGAAAGAAGTATTCCTCGTATAGTTCCTATGCCTGCATCAATGCGAGGCGTGCAAATTGAAAAATCTGTAGGAATAAAATCCGATGGTATTCGTCCTCAACAGTCAGAAAGTCAATCACCTTATCCTCGTTCCTTGGCTGAATATTGTATTTTTGGTGATTTTCTTATTAAAATTTTTCATAGTAGATTAATCATTTTATAGTAAACCCAACGCCACCATCTTGTCTCCGTCAATCTTCTTCAACCTGGAATGGATCTTTTCAGTATTCTCCGCCAATAAGATCAATAAGTTATGTTATACCCCCTACTATTGCACATGGGTCAAAACCTCATAGTATTTCTGAATCAATGAATCAGCTCTGTTCTGGTGTGAGTGGGGAATATCAGAAGGTATAAGTTTTTAGTCGATAGAACTACTACATATTTTTTCTAGAAAGTGGGAGAAGTTGAGTCATTAAAGCAATCGCAACAACAACAGAAACCTCAATTTATACAAATTAGCCAACAAAGACCAATAATAAGTGATTCACGCATTTTTGGGGTATTCTTTTTTATAATTTTTCTGCAACTTAAAATACAAGTTAATTTAAGACTTCTCCAAATTCATCATCAATAATAGAACCATATGGACATAGTTTCTCACTTCAAAATGTTATGCATTCTATTCGACATCGAGGTAATTCAATGTCGAGTGCAATTCCACAAACAACTGTCGGTGATACATCTTCATCAGTAGAGCAATTAACAACATCGTCAACGTTTCATAAACAATCAATTGACGAAAATTTATTTTTAGGGCTAGCAGCGGTTATGCCTGAACAGGTTATTTTTCCAAATACTTTAAAATTTTATATATTTTTTAAATTTAAAATCATTTAATTTATAATATTACACCAAACACTATAACCCAAGGGTATTCATATTCTTACTGAAAGTTTTCTTTTACATTTTTGTACTTTAGCTATGTTTTTTGTCAATACGAGCCCTGTTTTAACTGCATTCCTCTGACATTTTTTAGATTTTTTGTTTATTTTATTTTTAAGGTGTTTAATTCAACTGTTCTAATATACGATGCTTCGACACTTCTTCCGATTTCACAGCCGTTGGCCAAAACATACAAGTGGTTGAATCTTTATAATAACTATAAATTTTTATAGACTGCTCGGTGATAATCCTTCAGAAATTTGTCGCCATAATTTTGAACAAGTACTTAAATATGGTTGTGGGCGTTCTGATTTATTAGCACTGTGGCAATTTCTTGAGCAATTAATTTCTTATTCAAAACCTTTCTCTTCAATACAAAGTGGTGATAGTAAAAAATCTATTCATCTGCAATTTGGCCGTCTTTACAAAATCGAGTCTGCGAAAATTTTGCGCGCTGCTAGATCAGTTGAATTAACAGAAATTCCATGGAATTCACACCCATTGGGAAGAGAATTAATAAATAGATTGTAGGTTTTAATAAATTTTTGTATAGCTAATTTATAATTTTATACGACAATTATAAATTATTTTCTTTAATTTGAAAGAATTTTTTATCTTCGCTGTAATTTAATTTAATTCTATAGATTAGAACATTACGTCTCTAAATCTGATTTGCAAACAGCCGCAGTTATTATTTGCTTGTTTAATAGTATGTTTTCTTTTTTTTTTGTTCAAAAACCCCTAGTTTATAGTCACAAAAAATAACAACGTCCCCAGGAGTAAAATTCGTAGAAGATCAACAACTTGGACAGACACTACTAAAATTGGAATTATTAAGCAAAGCAAGACAACTGAAGATAACAATATTAATATTAGACCAACAACAAAAACAATTTCAACGTCCTCTTCTTCAGCTGCATTATATATGCAACAAAATATTTCATCTATGCCAATTACTACTATATCAGAACATAATGTTACAGCAATAATTCCACAACATCTTAACCGTAAAACTTCTGCGGCATCAAATACAGCTTTCTCAGCAAGTATTGGAATTTTTTTTAAATTAATTTGAAAACTTTTTAAAGATGCTCCTCTTGATCAATTTTACACGACTAGAGGGGGGCAATTTACACGACTAGAGGGAGGCATAGCATCTGCAAAGCCAGCAATTACTACAACCGTTGACCGTTTATCTCCCTCCCCTGAATACTTGTATTCCTCTCCAAAACCAAAAACAACTTATACTTTACCTGCAAGGAAAGAAAGGAATAATAATTTGTATATTTTTCTAAGTTATTTGATAATAAATATTATTAATTTTTGATAGATTGTCTTTGGATCCAACACTTTCTCATCGGTTTAATGAAGTTAAACGTATATATGCTGATATTCTTTATCGATGGCGAATGTATAAAAAATGTGCTGAAGTTCTTAAACATTGTGATAGTGCTAAAAACAATGAGTCAATTGAAATAATAAAAAGTAATAAATAATTAAATTATTTAAATTATAATTTTTTATAGCTCTAACTTGGTGTCACTTTTGTGGACAACAAAGAAGAGGAGATTCTTTTTGTTGCATAAAGGGACGGAGAACATCATCGATTGGTGTGTTATTTACTAATTATTTTTCAAAGTATTTTTTTGGGGTAAAGGGATGTTTTTGTTAAATTATTTTCGATTCAGCATTAAATATTATCTAAACTTTATATGAAAAATATCCTTTCTACCCAGAGATTTTCTAACAATTCTTTATTCTAGTTTGTTCAATTTGTGAACGTCCATGTAAAGGTAAACTTATTTAAAGATATAAAATAATTTTATTTTAATTAGGTATCGTCACAACTTGTGTAACTTGTAGCCATGGTGGATATTTAACACATTTGGCAACATGGTTTGATACACAATCACAATGTCCACTCGGCTGCGGATGTGAATGTAAATTTTGAATTATTATTTTCATATGCCATATTGATTTTTATTGTAAATATTTGTTTTTTATTTATTTACAATCTTACATTAACATGTAAGAAATAAATTTTTTTATTATTTATTAAATTTTTGTTCTTAATTTAATTAATACCTTTAAAATAAAATAATTTTTTAAAGTATAATTGTTATTTTTACGTTCTGAGTTGATATTTCTCGATGAGAGTTATTTCTTTTACTTTTCTTTACAATATAATTTAAGATGCCAAATTTTAGAATATTTACAGTTCTATCAAAAAGATTTTTAATTAATAATTATTTACCTTCAAAAAACAATAAAAAGTTAATGTCTACCGAAAAGAAAACCAATCTTTTGTTTAATGAAAAATCTCCATATTTGCTTCAGCATGCAACAAATCCTGTTAACTGGTAATTATTTTACTATCAATAAATAATTTTAAACATTTAAGGTATCCATGGGGAGATGAAGCTTTTAAAAAAGCTAAAGTTGAAAACAAACCAATATTTTTATCAGGTTTTTAGTTTGTTTTTTAATATAATTTTTTCTTTAGTTGGCTACTCAACTTGCCATTGGTGTCATGTTATGGAGCATGAATCTTTTGAAGATGTTGAAATTGCCAATATTTTGAATGAAAATTTTGTTAGTGTTAAAGTCGATAGAGAAGAGCGTCCGGATGTTGATAAACTTTATATGACTTTCGTTCAGGTGGTTGTAATATTTTATTTAGGATGATTTTTTTTATTTTAAGAGTTTAACTGGCGGTGGCGGATGGCCAATGAGTGTTTTCCTTACACCAGAACTTGAACCTATATATGGCGGGACTTATTTTCCACCTCGCGACTCTTTTGGCCGTCTTGGATTTTCCTCTGTTTTAACAATGATTACCGATAAGTGGAAGATTAATAATGTTCAAATGCGTATTGAAGGACAGCAAGTTGCTGAGTCAATACGTAATGCCTTGAAACCTACAACAACAATTAAAGATGGACAAAAACAAAACTTTCCAAATTCTGTTTCTACTTTAAATGCTTGTTTTGAATGGCTCTCCAAACGGTTTGACTCCACTTTTGGTGGTTTTGGTTCTGCTCCGAAATTCCCTAAAACTGGTTTTTAATTTTCTAAAATTTAAAACCCTAAAAATGTTTTCAGTTGATTTGGACTTTTTACTAAATTTCTATGTAGTTAGAAAACCTTCAGTTGAAGCGGATAAAGCATTAAATATGTTAAAATTGACTTTTGAAAAAATGTTTGAGGGTGGAATACACGATCATGTTGGAAAGGTTTACTAAAATTTAAATATAATTTATTCTTTGTTTTAGGGTTTTCACCGCTATTCAGTTGATTCTAATTGGCATGTTCCACATTTTGAAGTATTTAATAATTAAATTTTTAACTTAAATTTTTTTAGAAAATGCTATATGACCAAGGCCAATTATTGCGTTCTTTCAGTAATTTTTGTAAAACTTGCCCTTCAGATAAAGAGTTGGCAACCGATGCAATAATTGATATAGCAAAATATTTAAATACAAATTTATCACATCCAGTTTGTTCTTTAATTTTTTTAAATTAGTCAAAATTTAGTTGGCAGGCTTCTACAGTGCCGAAGACGCTGATTCTTTACCTGAAGAAGGATCTAAAAAGAAACGTGAAGGGGCCTTTTGTGTTTGGACAAAAACTGAAGTGGAAAGAGTCTTAGGTGATAGACCTGCGAGGCATAATGAAAATGTTTGTCTTGATGAAATTGTTTGTGCTGCTTTTGGTATTCGAGATGAAGGAAATGTGCCGTCTTCTGCTGTTTGTTTTTTTAAATTTTTTACTTTTTTTTGTGAAAAATTAATGTTTTTCCTTTAGTAAAATTTTATTATTTTCCCTTTAATCTATTAATTTTATTTTTATAATTAACTCAATTATTTCTATAGGATCCATATGATGAATTGAAATTACAAAATATTCTTCATCTCGTTTCTCGTCCTCAACTTGAGGAAATTTCAAAAGAACATAAAATGTCTCTTTCTGAACTTTGTGAATGTATTGAAGATTCGAAACGTTTTCTAGCTGAAGAACGTGCTAAAAGACCAAAACCACATTTAGATAATAAATTGGTTACTGCTTGGAATGCTCTAGCAATTTCTGGATTTTGTGCTGCTGCAACAATTATCGATGAACAAAAGTTTTATTTTTTTATTTCTATAAAAAATCTTTTTAAGAAGCAAGGAATATAGAGAACGAGCAGAAAATGCTGTTAAATTTATAAGAGAACATTTATACAAAGAGGAAAGTGGAGAACTTTTACGTTCTGTTTATGTTGATGAAAGTGGAAATATTGTTCAGAGGTTTTTTTAATTTTTTAAAATTTTTTGAATTAAAAGTATTTCCGTATTTAAGCAATCTTAACTTTTAATTTTCTAGTTAATTTATAACGAATTTAGCTTTGGATAATTTTTTATTAATTTTATTTATTTAGTTCCTCTCCAATTATGGCATTTTCCGATGACTATGCTTTTTTAATTGAAGCTCTAATTGATCTTTATTCACTCAATTTTGATGAAAATTTAATAAAATGGGCAGAACAATTACAAAACAAAATGGATATACTCTTTTTTGATTCAACAAATAATTCTGGTTATTTTACCTCTCGTTCTGGGGATCAATCAATATTTGCACGTATTGTTGATGAACAGGATGGAGCTGAAGTAAAGTTATATATCAATTAAATAATTTTACTCATTTTTTCTAGCCATGTTCAACATCTATAGCTATTTCTAATCTTTTACGCCTTTCTTCTTTGCTTGATTCTAAAGAATTTAAACAACGTGCAGAGTCTGTTTTTCTCTCAAATACTTGGACAGAACGTTTAACTAAATTTCCTTTTGTTGTTCCTAAACTTTTACTTCCTTTATATTCACTGACTAATCCACAATTTCAGGTATAATTTTGTGCTTTCGGAAAGTATTTTTAAATTTAATTTTAAAAATTAAGTTTATCATTGTGGGGGACATAAATGATTTGACAACTCAAAAAATGCTGCAAACAATTCAACAAAAATATTTGTCAATGGCTACAATTATATTTCTTGATGCTAACAAAATTAAATTAAATGGTTGTTTGTTAAAATTTTAATTTAAAAATAAATAATTTTTTTGAAGGAAATAATTCTTTTCTTTTACAAAAGAATTCACATTTAAAAGATTATATTGAAAGTTATAAAATTGGAGGGCCTCCAACAATATTTTTATGTCAAGCAGAATCATGTGAAATGCCTTTAAATTCTTTGGAAGAATTACAAAAAAGATTGGCTAAATTATAAGAAAAAAGGAAAAACAAAATAATTATTAAAATAATTCCAATGGAAATACATAGTATATTTAATTTAAACTTATATTATTTTTGCTTAAATTGTAGAATATAGGCAGCTGTTTTGTTTTTAAAAAAATCAAAAAAGATTTTCTTTTATATTACTATTTAGATTTATTTTTATTTATTTATTCCAACTTTTCCATGGATTTTTTAAATGATTATTCTCTTATAATTTTTAAAACAGCTGTTAAATAAAGTTTGCATGTTTTTTTCTTTTATTTTTGAAGAAAATAAACTTCCTTTCTAAAAATTACTTTAAATAATTTAAAAATAATATAAAAATATTTTTTCCGTTCGTCTGGATGATTGGAAAAATTAACTAAATTATTCTCCTCTTTTCTTCAAAAATCCCGGAAAAATTTTTTTTAATAAAAATTAAATGTTTTCCCAATTAAAAACAACAAATTTAATTTTTTCTATTTTTTGGTAATTTTAAATAATAAAATTATTATTTTAAAATTTGTTTTTTTTTAAGTATTTCCATATTTTTGTGTTTATCTAATCAAGCAAAAGACCCTCCTGCAAAACAATTAAGAAGCAGACAAATTCGTAGATTTTTAAATATTTTTTTTAATTTAAAATTAAATTAAAAATTAGTAACTCAAAATTTAATTCTTTCGCGTCTTTTTGCTGATTATGATCCAAATACGCGCCCTCCTGTTAGAGGTTTTTTAACCTAAAAATATTTTGATTAAAAATGTATTGTTTTCTCTACTGTAGCCTTAGCTGATCATGCAGCAATTGTTGTGACTGTTTCTATTGTACTTAAAAATATTGTTTGGCACAAACATTCAGCGGTGTTTTTATTTAAATTTAAAAATAAATATTAAATAATAAAGGAAGTTGATTTGACATTAAAACAAGAATGGGAAGATTCTCGTCTTGCATTTCATGTAGACCATCGGGAAGGAATACATGAAGGTAATAGAGAGAGGATATACCTATATTCCTTCCTTAATATTTTTAGTACTTCTTCCAAAAAATGCAACTGTTTGGAAGCCAGATACTTTTTTTGTTGGTTAGTAGTTGAGAATTGTGAACTTTTTTGAAAAAAATATTTTTAGGGGCTCAAGAACAAGCACCTTCTATTGGAAATAAAGGAGTAATTAGATCAAGAACTATAATTGAATATAGTGGCTATATTAGAAATGAAGACACGTTTGTGTTTTTAAACAAAAAAAAAATTTAAATAAATTTAAAGGAGAATATTACGAATAAATTTTCAATCGGATGGGGCTTTTCCTATACGTGATGTTCGCTCTATTCGATTTGCTCTCTCAAGTGGTAAGACTTTTTTGAAAATTATTTCCTCAATTATTTCCCAATAATCTTTATTTTAAAGCTATTTACTCAATTGACGATGTTGCCTATTTATGGGCAAATTCTCCTCCCCTTATCCAGCCGATACAGATTGCTGATCGTCTATATGCTGGTGGGGGTGCCCATTATGCATTTGAAGAAGCTGAAGCTGGGGAATGTCATTCAATCGGAAATTTTACACAAAGTAAATTAAAAAAAAATAATGTTCCTTTTGGATAACCCTCCCCTCCCCCCTCCTTGTTTGTATCTCAGATTTACTCTCTAATCTTTTGTACAAGTGAACAGAAAATTTTTTAAAAAATTACCAACAATACACATACATTATATTCTCTTCAATTCCAGGTACATTTTCCTGTATTGAATTACTCGTTCATTTTCGTGGTAGTTCAACAATTGGATGGTCAAGTGTTTTAATTCCTTGTATTTTACTTGTATTTACGAGTTGGTTCCATTTTTGGGTACATCCATCATGGTCAGTACCTCGAACACTTAGTTCGTCTGTGCCTTTTCTTTTATTTCTTTGTTTTTTGGTAAATTTTATTTTTTAATTATTTTAAATAAAAAAAAGATTTTTCTTCCAATTGAATCTTGTGCTTGGAGAATTTGGCTTTTTATTTGTACATTATTTACATTTTTGTCTTTAATTGAATATTTTTTTGTAATTCGGTGTTATTCAACAATTAATCAACATTCTGCTGCAGCATTAACTGCACAACAAAGACATCATCAATTTAACCGTCCAACAAGTGAAGATGATGGAAAAGAAGGGACAACAACTACTTTAATTGTTACACAAGATGAGGTAAATTTAAAAAGAAAAAAAAGAATTTTTATTTTTTCTTTAAAAAAAGCCATTACTTTCATCAACACACGCAGAAGTGTTAAATCGTTATTCAGCAACAAATCATTTAGATTTAGTTTCAAGAATTGCTTTTCCTATTGGATTTCTATTAGCTTTAGTTGTTTTTATACTTTTTTATATTTTTTAAATAAATTCTTTTTATATTTTTTTAATTAGAAGAAAAAAAGATTTAGAATCTTAATTCCACACCTCCCTGGGACCAGGCCCGTAATCGGGGGAGGGTGAGATACAAGCTTCCCCTTGTTTGTATCTCAGCTTTACTCTTTACCTCTTTACTTTTTTATATTAATAATTATTTATGCTCAAGCAATATAAGTGAACACTATAAACAAAAATTACCAACAATACACACATATATTCTCTATAATATTTTAAAAAGGTACATTTTATTGTATCATTCATTTTCGTGGTAGTTCAACAATTGGATGGTCAAGTGTTTTAATTCCTTGTGTTGAAGATGAATCGATCTTTTGCGAAGTATTTCTTTTAGCTTAGATAAATTTTTTAGGGATAAAATAATTGCAAAAAACTTTGATTTAAAGATGTTGCCATTTGAGATTTTGAAAAGGTACTTGTAGGTCCGAAAACAAGAGGTGTATGGGAACGTGGTCTAGCTCTAGCAATACTATTTGAAGTAGAAAATATTGAAAAAGATTGTCCAAAATCATTTGAGGGAGCTTTTAAAAGAAAAAAATAAAAACAAGTTTACCAAAAAATTACCAAAACATCGCCGATATTGTGAATCCCCTGTAAGTGCTGCTCGAAGTGGTGGAAGTGGTGGATTTGTTATTTGATTACTTTGAACAGAAATATCTGCAGAAGTTGTTGTTTCAGCATCTGACGCTGCCCAAGGATCCTAAAAAATTTTTTTTATTTTTAAATTTATTTCTAAAAAAACATTTTCAATTATTGAATTTTTTGGCAAACTAATTTGCCCAATAGCAGAACGTAATTCATCCAAAGAAGTATTTTTTTGGAATTCTTGTTGTTCAACGAGTGGTCGAATTTGGAGTTGGCGTATTTTTGTTGTTTGGAATTTTGTTGAGTTATCTTCCTCATCTTTAGAGAAAAAATAAATAAAAATTATAGTCTATAAAAACTACCAGAAGAAGAACTATCAGCAGACCAACGATTGTTATCAGTAGATTGGCTAATATTATAATTAATATTTTGTTGTTTTTCATTCGAATAAATAAAAGAAACACTTTGAATGTTTGGTGATTGATTGTCAAATAAAGGTGGAGGAATTGGTTCACTAATTGGTAATGGTGGTGGAGGGCCAAAAACTTGAAGAGGGTCTATGATTTTTGGCTTTAAAAATATTTTAAATAATTTATTTTTATTTAATTTCCACCTCCTCCTCAACAACAGAAATATCACAATTTTCGCCTTCCAGTTGAAATTGACTATAACTATAAATTTAAAATATTTTACAAAAATATTTCTTTAAAACAAACATACGCTCGTTTCATTTTTGTTTGAGTTATTTCATTAATTGAATTCTTTGCATTAATTTTCTTTTGATAACGTTTAGACAAACCACTCCCCCCTCCACTACCTTTAATTAATTAATTAAAATTATAATTTATTTCTTTTTCCTTTTCTACAAATTTTCCATTCATTTTTACCTTCATTTAAACCAAAACTTTTGGAGAATTCTGCAAATTGATTATTTGATTGAAGTTTTTCATTTGTTATAGCCATTTCATTTGCAACTGCTGCTGGAAGACTAGATTGAGAGGCACTATGTTTTTTAAGTCTCCAATGAGAAGCTGCCTGTTTCTGTCTGCCTAACCAAGAAGAAATTTGGTGTTGAACAGTTGAAATGGACGAAGATTGTTGATGATTTTGTTGCTTATCAGAAGTATTAATTCTTTAAAAAATTTATTTAAAAATAAATTAAACAATGGGATAGCAATTCCGGAAATTTTTACCGAAGAGGATCTTTCGGTAAAAAATTTTATTTTTAAATTATTCTAAAAATGGCGTGGAAATTTAATTATTAAAAAATTTGTAAACCACAAAACTATTTAAATATAAACCTTAACCTAATATTTGTTTGTTGTTCCCCTTCAGCATTTTCAGAATTAGAATCACTATCCTCCTCGTCAGCTTCAGAAGCCGATTGCTTAAAACGTTGTATTTTTTGTTGAGATTTTCGTTGGGAAGATTTTCCACTTTCAAATAATTTAGAAGGAGCACAATAATCATCAAAATTTAGTAAATCATCAACTGTTGTTGGAGGGGGATTTTGAGCAGTAATAGAAGAAAATGTAGTATTGGGAACAACAATAGCCGAGGAATTATTTGAAGAAGAAGAATGGGAATGGACTGCAGAGAGAACATCCAATTCTTGTGGAAGTTCATCTGCTTCTGTCCAATTAAGTTTCTCTAAAAATATATTTTTTAGAATTAAATATATTCTTGTGGACAAATTTTTAAGAAAAAACCCAACTAGGAACATCCGTGCCAGTCCCTTTTTCTTCAATAAATCTCAACATAATTTCTTCAACATCAATTAATTCCAAATTTTGTTTAAATTCAATAGCCGTTTTAGCATCACAATTTTGTGCAGTCTCCAAAAGAGTGGCCAATTGGAAAAAAAATTCTTTAAAAAATTAAAATTTTTAGAAAAATAAAAAAAACTTTTCATTTGTAAAATATGTCCTCTGTCATGTTCTTGAAACATTCTTGCAGCTTTTAATATTCTATCTTCAAAAATATCTCTAATTTGTGCATATTTCTCCATATATTGACGATATTCAATATGTGATTTATTTAATTTATTTTTTATCTAAAAAATTAGAAAAATCAAAAAATTTAATTTAAAACTTAATTTAAGATATTCTTTTGTGTTTGTAGATGTCCAGTCTTTACTAGAATTTTTTAAATTAATTACTTCAGCACAACGTTGTAAGTAAGTCTCTTTAGCCTAAAAAATATTTTCTTTTATTTTTAAATAAAAGAAAAAACTTTTTGTAAACAAGTTGTTGTTGTTTGCATTAAATTTATAGCTTCTAATGTCTCAATATCTTTAGCTTTTTTTCGAATTTTTATAAGTTCTTCTTGATATCGAAATACGTCTCTAGAAAGGTCACCAAGATTATGCACTAATTTTGTTTTAATTTCTTAAAAATGGAAAAAAACTTGATTAAAGAAAAATAAAAATTCTTTAAAATAAAAACTTTTTAAACTAACAATTTACCTATCCAAAATTCAAGTGCATTTTTAGTCAATCGCCAGGCATCGGCCAAAGATCCATTATTAGTTGTGTATGTACTAGCCTAAATTATATTCATTTTCATAGTGTGGATTTACTTAATGTCATAATACATTTAAACATATACTTAAATATGTGTAGTAAAATAAAAAATACTTTAATAAGCTGTCTGTTAAGGCACTTTAAAATGTCATCTTCCATGCTAGCCCTTTCTTTAATAAAAGTGAGCAATTCATGCACAGAATCCTCTCCTTTTTTCATATGGTCATAAAGAACATTATACCCAATATGTTTATCACCCTTAATGCGAAATTTGTAGATAAGTAATAAATTTAATAAATACCCAAAAATGAGCAGAATAATCAATAATCATTTGAACATATAAAATCTAAATATAATTATAGTTTGATCTAGATTGTACGTACACCCTTAAAGATGGATGTGCGTAAAATTGGGAGTATCTATTGGGCAGCCCAGAATCAATTAAATTTGTATGTATAATTTAAATCAGGGTGTACGTATTTTTAAATTGAATTTAGAAAATAAATTTAATTTACCTTTGGTCAATAAAAAGTCAAAACATTGGGTTAAGAGCTTCAATTATTTAAAATTTACTTGTAGTTCTGAAAACTAAATAAAAATTGAAATAAACGTTTAAAGTCAGAAAATATTTAAAAATATGTAAATCATCAAAATTTTTAAATGTCTGAAAATAAAAAAAATAAACTGAATAAATTTAAAAATAAACTTTATTTAAAGTTAATTTACTTAGAAATTTATATATGTACTATACTAATAATTCTAGCGTTAAAAATAAAGGCATTGGATATAGTAATTTTCATAATAATACTGGATATATTGTAAAGGGTGGCAAAAATGCAATTTAGATAAAAAAAGATGTGAATGAGTAAAATAAAAAGTTTAAAAAATTTCAAAAATCGGTCAAAATATTTTTTTTATAAAAAATGCAAAAGAAGTATACAAAATTAAAAATCATAAGACCGATCCTTTAATTAAAATTTAAAGAATCAGCAAAAAAACCATTATTTTGAATCCTACAAATTATAATGACATTTAAGAACGTTAATTAAAAATGCCAACATAAATAATGGTTCGTAATACATAAAAACAATTAAAAAAAAATAAACAATTTACTTCTTTTTTTTGAAAAATAAAAAATTGTTGAAAAAATAAACAATTGTTGAAAAAATAAACAAAAAATTTGTTGAAAAAATAAACAATTTACTTCTTTTTTTCATTCAAGAGATAAATTATTGTATTGATTCATTCGGAGGTTATCACTATGATGTAAATGTTGAGATCCACCACTTAAATTATTGAGTTGACTGTTACGGTTTACATTACTTAAATTCAATGCATCATTCTCTGGTGAATCTGTTCCAAACCCAGTTTGTTGTCGTTGATTGAAAATATTTGCTGGCTGCTCTTCTGTTATTGAAATTCCATCATGTGATGTATTTTCAAATGAGCGATAGTCGAAAAAAGGACCTCCGTTATTTGCTGCTGCAAGATGTCGAGGTGAAGACGTTGTTGGATTGTAACGTCCCTGAAGTCGACGAAAAATGGAAAAGAAGAAACGAGAAAAGTCTCGCAAAAACCAGCCACTTTCTGGAAAATTCAAAAAATAATTTAGAACCATTATCTATAAATTGTTAAAATATTTCACAATTAATTAAAGTGAAGTTAACTAGAAAATTAATTTAGATATCAACATTCAATTAAAAATCTTCACAAAAAATATATCACAAATATTTCTACAACACATTTCAAATATATTTTGATATCATTTCAGCCCAATAGACAAAGCACAACAAAAGAGCGAGACACAACCAAACACTCAAAGTGGAGTTTCATTGTTTACAGTCGCCTCCTCTTCAGTTGTGCATTTAGAAGAATTCGAAGAACCCTATAATAATAAAAACTGACCTAATTGAAGTAATTGATCCGTTGCAAATATTTCTCTTGCCTCTGGGGTGTTGACGTCGGGCATATCTTCGCTAGCAAGGAACTCTTGAAGGATAGAGCGCTCCAAATCCATACCTTGATTGTATCGATTCTTGACGACCTAAAAAATATTTAGAATAATATTTTTATTATATAAATTGGGTTGAGGGACAATTATTCGCTAATTTTAGTCTCAAAAAGTTTCATTTTTGTAAGTTCTTACTTCATAAGCATCCATTATAATAGCTATAAACAATGACAAAACAACGTAAATAAATAATGATACAAAAGCATATATATAAATAGTTCCAAATAATTTAATTGCAGCATTTGCATCACTAATTGTGTAGAATGTTGCAAACATATCTATATTTTTAATTTTAAGATAAAGTTATAAATAACTCACCATCTCCATTGAGTAGCGAAAAAAGGGCTTCTGATGATTGCGCCAATGTTCGGAACTTTTTAAATAAATTGTAATTAAAAATAAATTTAGTTAAAAAAGGTTAATGCAAATAATCAAAAATCCTCAAAATAGATAAATCTTAGAACTTTGGAGTCTAGAAAGTTTTGAGATGCATTAAGCTTGCCAAAGCTAAAGTGTATTTTCAATAAAATACCTTCATACTATAAGGTCCAATAACAACCCATCCAGCACTAAAATACATAGAAGAATAAATTAAGAATTTACAAAATAACTGTTAAACTCACTCCCCATCAATCCGCAAAAGAAGGTTGCAAAAACCTTCATTTGCTGTATATCGCAAACTGTCTTTTTGCGATTAAGTAGGGAGCGAGCTAGATATCTACCAAATTTAAAGAAAACTTACATAAGAAATCCAGAATACAGAATAACAGCACAGACCATAAAGCGAAGGATTGATGGAAGTGATTTCTTCAAAGTAAGCACCAAAATCTAAAAAAAAATAAAATAATTTTAAAATTAAATAAATGATAAACATTATATTGACTAAAAAATCCAAAATATCGAAGTAATCCAATATAAACTAAAAGCGCTCCAATGCCTAAAACAACACCTAAAAATTAAAATAAATTAATCGAAATAAAAATTAGGTACCAGTTAATGTAAACAAATCAGAATCAAAATCACGAAATTCAATTGTTGCTTTACTTATTGTTCCAATAATTATCAAAATATCATTCTAAATATTTTTTTAAATTTCAAATTTAAAATATTAGAAACAAACCACAACAATCATTCCATACCATAAATTAAAGAATTCCCATTGATCCGAAATTGGTAAACGTCTTTTAAATGCTTTTTCAAAGAATTCACTTGTTGTCTAAAAAAATAAAAAAAATTTATTTTAAAAATTATTTTTTTTCTTTTTTACATTTTTCAACAAATGTGCTCTAACTAATGCTCTAAGACAAAGAATAACGGAAGCAACACACATAATTAGCACCAATAAATCAATTATTGCGATAAAAGCAGTATCAAATCCAATAGAATTAACATGCAAAACACGTCCATTGCATAAATTTACATAACTAAAAATGTTAAAAAAAAGGAAAATTAAAAAAACCTGATATTTGCATTTAATTTAATCTTTATTTGACCAGTATGTCGAGAATTGTCAAATATTATTTTTATCTAAAAATATTTTTAAATGAAATAATTTTAGAAGAATTACATCAATTTTGTAACATTCAGGCTTTTGATCATTTTGTAAAGGACTAAAGTGTATAGTACGCAAATTAAATTTAACAATAGCTTGAGAAATGATAAGAGCATCTTCTCCTGTAAATGTTATATTCCGCTTTGCTAACAAATTACGAACAGTATAAGGATTGCTTTTTATATCTCTAACTTCATTGTGTGTAAAATTTAGTGTAAAACATTCTTAAAAATGAAATTTTATTTTAAAAAATTGGTTAGAAGAATTTAAAGTTAGGCACTATCTGCACCATCATGTTAGCTCTATTTAAATTAGGGTTTTGCGTAAGCCAAGAAAAATTTCTTAATCAAGGAAGTATTTGAACTAACCATTAACTTCAGAAATGTCAAAAATATAGGTAGAATTTTCAATTATTACATCAGCAATTCTTTGAATACATAATTGTAGTGGAGGTATAGCAGAAAAAACTATCCTCTTTTGAAGATTAGTTGAATTTGTATTATTTTCATTATCATCATGTAAAGGCTGCCAATGTTCAATTTGAGGTGTAATTGTGTCATAGCTAAATGCAGCAAAAGAGTCGTTTTGAATCGAATAATACTTAAAATTAAATTAAAATAATATTATTTAGATATTGTTTAGTATGTCCCATCTATTCGAAAACTCGTCAAGCGAGTGAGTCGCATTATGCAAACCTTAGAGCAAAAAAATCTTAGGAATTTTAAAAGGACCGAGCTAGAGGAATATTAAAAATTATCATGAAGCAAAGTTAAGCAAACATAGAAAATCAGAAATAGAACGGGCAAAAATAAAGTCTCTAAAGACGTAGGGACACCCCGATTACAAAACCTTTGGAAAACTGTTTTTATCATAACAGATCTGTTCTTTGCATTTTCAAAGATGGTAATAAATGGGGTATGACTAATAAATGCTTAAAATTACGGCTTTAATAATATGCGCAAAATGTTCAACAATTTGGTCACTCGTAAAAACGGAATATTTTCCAGCAGCAGGTGGATATGCAATTGTATCACGTTCTGGACCCCAATCTTTGAGAAATTTGTGTCTCATCACCGTCACCGTTTCATCTAGAAAATCAACATGGGAAATTCTGAGCTCTGCGAAAAGCACCAACTTAAATCGAGTTTTTGGGAATACAAAAACATAAAATAACCTGTGTAGTTACAAATATAGCTTTAAGTATTTGAAGTACTAGTTTGAAAGGAAATTGTCTCCGAATCCTATACTTGTCGAGAGGATTCATAAAGAAGAACTGCAAGAGTAACGTAAGTATTTGCGTATATTCAGATAAAAACCTGTAAATGTCTTCGTAGTCTAACCCCAACATCCCTCAACTCTGAAGACAGTTGACCCAACCTCTCATTGAAGTTAATGAACAATCTAAAATAAAATAAAAATATTAAGGCAAAAAGAACTAACCCGTCAGAGAGATCAACGGCAGAATGACTACTATCGTTGTAATACATGACGTTGATTAATCACATTTAATGGCTAAATTTAAATTATTGTTACTAGCCCAAAAGTAAAAGAATGAATAAATATAAATTCTATATTTAGTAATTATCTACATTACATTGTATATGTATAAGCAAAAATAAAAAAACATCTTTATATAGATTTAATCAATAAGAAAAAAATAAAGGAAAGCTGTGCATATATGTGAAACAAATATATAATGAAATCCATGTTTCATCTTGTAATTATCGTTAAATGATGTAGACCTGTCTAAAATTACATGGGAAATGGAGCGAGGTTTATTTAAAACTTGTATCCACATTTAAAAAGCTGAATGATGGTGGCGGAAAAACAACTCAGCATTATAATACGAAAATATGCAAATTTTAGATTAGAATAATTCTCTGCCAAAATAAAATCGTTCTTTTACATTCTAAAATGATTTCCAATTTTATATAACCGAGTTGATACAAAAGAAAAGAAAGAACCTTACTTTAAAGGGCTTTGGCTTTAAAGTATATCTAAAAAGCCATATTTTATAGTCACAATTTAATGCCCTAAAATAAAGTCGTTTGAATTATGCTGGTCTTCCATCATTCTTAACTTCCCTTTTCATCATCTTAAGACATTTTCTCATTGCCCTGCTTCGACATAAACGCAGGCTAAAAAATTTAAAAAATATGTGATTATCGGGTAATTAAATTTTTTACCGAAGAGACAATACTTTCATCATCTTCATCAAAAGAAACAAGAGCTCTCTCCGCTGTACGTTCTGCGGTGGCTTGCAGAAATTTATCATATTCATCTTCAACATTGTCTTCCTCGATTGGATTGTTGTACACTTAAAAACAAAAAAGTTACAAAGAAAAAACAATAAAAAAGAAATATAAACAAACGTGAACCAGAAGGAGAATTTCCAAAAGTGTCGAAATTTTCGTCCAAAAAGGCACAATCGTCATCAGGAATTAAATGTTCTCCATCTGGGCCCAAAAGTCCAACAGCTGGATAAGCGTCATTGCTAATATCACCTGCTCGAGCAGTCTAAAACGAGCAAATTGGAATGGAAAATTTGTAAATATAAAAACCTCGGAAACAATCCCCCAATGTTTGGCGCGTAACTCGAGAAGATTTCGAACTTTCAATTTTGTAAGGCTAAATTTAAGAAAATCAAAAAACAAAAACTAAATAAACGCTACTCATTACACGACGCAGCACATTCGTTCAAATCTATCATGAATGCATTCATAGCTTCAGATCCACGGTCATTCTCCAAAAAACGGCCAGTCAGCTAAAAGAAAATATTTTTATTATAATATTATAAAAACTCCAAACTTTAAGTATTTTAACGATAACACCAATTCCCTGATTGTCAGAAGGTAGTTTCAATAACCCATGTAATTGGTCAAAAAGATGGGCAGCTAATTGTGAAGATTTCACTCCATTGACCTTAATGTCAAATTTTTTAAAATATTTGGTAATGAATTTTACCTCGATTTTGTCGTAAAGTTCAGCCAAAAAGGTAACCAAATTGCAATAATGTTGTAAGGAAAGTGAAGATTGTGTATCGTTAATGAACAAAGCTAATTGCGAAAGCAATATATTTTGACTAAAGTTTTCAATGTTTTTGTCGAGGAATTGACACAAACAAGAATAATTATACTGACTTTCGTCTAAAACAACCGCCTCAAAAAATGAAAAACATAACTGCTAAAGAATAAAACTATAAAATCCAAACCATTTCAATAAGAATCTCTGAAGCAATACGCAAATCCGGTTCAGGAAGCGGATCTCTACCAACCATTCGGTCTCGTATTTCGGTTGCCCAGGTATTAAAATATGTTGGTAATCCAAAAGCAACTTCCTCAAGGCCGATTATAATTTCAAAAAGAGCCTGAAAATATGGAGATAATTTTTCAAACAAAATCAATAAATTTTTTGTTCACCTGTTTTTTAGAAGAACCATCAATTCGCTCCTTCAATTCATTAGAAAGAACATAACGATCCGATACAGCTGTCTGTAATTCAGGAGGTACAAAGTCACCAAGAAAATCTTCATTCATCGCTCCATTCATTGTCGGGCCTGTATGTCGAGTGTTATTGTCGATACCAGTCTCATAAAGAAGTGGAGACATGTCAAAAGCGTTTGTGCCCTATTATTAAAATAAATTAATCAAGATTACATTTTTGATTTTTAAAGGGTAAATATTTTTGTATATTTTATATATTTAGTTTATATTTTTTGCAATGATTATTAACATACACCAACAGTTGAGCCATATTGCTTAGGCTGATAATTAACTCCACTATTATTGTTTCCAATTTGATGGAAAGGAGCTTGCTGTTGTTGTGCTAATTGATGGATTTGTGGAGGGCCACTAGCCATTGATAAAAAAGATGACTGTTGTTGTGAATGGGATGGATGAGTGAGTTGTGGCGATGGGCGACCTCCTGAATTAACAATAGTTCCGGCAATTGCTCCGCTATTAATCGTCGCGTTGGTGTTTGGTGATGAAAGAGGTGAACTAGAAAAAGCTCCGCTAATACTTCCACCTATAAATGCACCCGACTGACGATTAAAAGATGACGATATTTGTTGATCGTTTAAAATAAAATTAGTTGTTGGTGGTTGTCTATTGCAACCAGCAACAAAATTTTGATTATTATGTTGTTGATGAATGTTATAAGGACGCTTAACAAGAATTTTAATTTTTAATGAACTCAAATAAATTTAAAAAAATTAAATAAAAATTTTAAAAATGAAGTAAATTAATAAAATAAATTATTAATTCTCTTAGCTAATAAAATATTTAATTTTTAAAAATTTAAATTTTTTGAGGGAAAATGTAAATAAAGAAAGAGAGAGAATAGAAAAAAGAAGGACAAGCAATCGACTTTCTCGAATTTAATGTTTATATAAATAAAAAAGTCATGCGACTCAATATAGATTTGAGAAATGAGAGAGTGTAAAAAATGAAAGAAAAAATATTATTAAAAGTTTTTTTTTCATTTTTTGATTTAAATATTTTTAATTAATTAGAAAAATGTTTGCCAATAGCAGGAATGACAAAAATTAATATTCGAATTTTAATTTAATTTGTAAAAATTTTGAGATTTTTGGCAATAAAAAGTTTTAAATTAATTGTAGAAAGTTGAAAATATAAATTTAAAAAATAAACATACATCTTTGTAACCAAATGGATTGTATGGTTTTGAACTTTGCGGTGAAGGATTTAGCGAAGGAAAACCGGTTGTCGCAGAACTATATGAAGGTGGAAGATTTGGTTTCTGAAAATTATTTATATAAAATAAATGTAAAAAACAAGAATTACATTTAAAATTTTAAATAAAAAATTCAGCTAAATAAAATTTTTTTAAATTAATTTAAATTAATTTTTGAGAAATAGGATTAGACGTTTTAAGTTAATTTGTGCCTTTCAAAATTAAGCAGTTTAATTTTAACAAATATAATTTAATCAATTCTACAAAACAATTAATTAAAAATTCAATTACTATTGTCGAAGGATTTTGGTATTGTTGAGGAGGTGGCAATGAGGTATTGGCACCTCGAATACATCCTTCTTGGAAATGTCCATTTTGTTGAGAAATCGGATTAGACGATGTTTCAGCCATTAATCCCATAGAATTTTGCGGATTGTAATTAACAAAGCTACCTGAAAATATAAGAAGCTTAAAATCGAGTTGCAGATTTGATGCAAGATCTTCTTAACATAGACCGACGGGAAAATTATTTGTAAATTATGCCCAAGAACTTACACACAAATTTTAGCACAAACGGAAATTTTTGAATTTTCTAATTAAAATCGACCTATAAATAAATTCTTTTTTATCACTTGAGTTGTAAAATACCTTTTAAAGTGTATTTGTTCCGGCTGAAGGGGCGATTTTAGATTTGGATAATTTATATGCCAATAGAAAGAGCTCATCGAACTGACAAAAAAAGCAGTCTGCGAAAACTTTAATAAGGTTGCTTGATTCATTTTTGTCATAACTTTGTCCAAACTAGTTTAATCAAGGTTTTAGTGTCATCGACTCAGCTCATGAGCTATTATTTGCATTTTCTAATTTTTTTGGCTCTGACCCCCAAACCCTTAATGTAAGTTATAAGGCATCAAAGTCTGAAAATTTTAAAGTGGCAGAGTCGCTCTCTTTCGATTGACATATAGGTAAATTATCCAACTCTAAAAAGCATTTTCTATCGAAATATTGCCTTTTAATCTGACGACCTATAGTTGAGCTCGGGACCTATTTTTATCTCAGACTCAAATCGACAAGCCTTTCAATTATAACAAACCCGGAAAGTGTAATTTACCCACAAATTATAATGCCCCGAGAACAAAATAAAAACCTGATAATGGTTGTTGCTCCAAATGTCGTTGATGGTAAGAGTTTGCTTCTGAAAATTCACTACTACCGTTAGCAATAAGACTTCCAAATGTTGTACTAGGAGGACAATAACTACTATGTTGTTTATCCATTTTCTATCGGAAATATATTTAATGCATTAATCTAACTAAAAATTAATTTAATAAATTTAAAAATCTACATAATTATGTTTGAATAAAATCACGTGGAAGCGATTGCCTATTGAGAAAATTTTTATTGTTAAAATAAACGAAAACATAAAAATTGATGAATTTACGAATAGAGTAAAAATTTCACATATACAAACTTTAAGAAATGTACATATAAGAAAAGTGATAAACAGGTGACCAACTATGAAAAACAAAATAGAAACAAATCTCAAATTTTATATAAACTCAAAAGTTATAAACACCCAAAACCAATAAATACTCAAATGTTAGTCAATATTTTGAAATACCTAAATTCAATAAAATTTTACTCAACGGCGCGCCTAACTTTGCGGATTAAAATTTGCGGATCAGAACTTTGCGGACACGAATTCTGCAAATTTTCGGGCCGACAATTGAGTCTCTGAGACTTAGGAAATTTCAAAAACTTAAGTCTGCTGCGTTAACGACGGTCATGGATTAAATAATATGTATTTACATATAAATAAAACTAGTAGAAGCATCTTAACCTCTTTTAAGAAAAATACTTTTTAATTAAACATTTATCCAAAAATAATTAAAATGCGACAGATTTACAGAAAATTAATAATTTTGAGAGGAGATCAAAGTATTTATTTAGAAATGAATTATGAAAAGATGTAAATACATAAAGAAATTTACGCGAACAGAGTAAAGGATTAACGAGAATAGCGAACATTGAGTTGTTAAGAATTTATTTTCTCGAAAAAAATGAAGGAATATGTACATATATAAAATGAATGGAGCACGCGCGTGGCAGTTTATGGTAAGACGGTTAAAAATGTGGTTTATGCCCCCCATTCTCGTTTTGATATTTCTTATCTCACATTTTTATTTTTTGTTTAAAGGCCCTATTTTTCTCATATTTTTTGCCATATTTTTTGTTATATAAAATTTTTATTTTCTCTCATTTTTCTATAATATTTCTCTACTTTTCTCTCTCTCTCTCATTTCCTTTTATTCTTCATTTCTTATACTATTATCTTCTTCTTTTTCTTGTGCCAAAGTTGTAGACACTGTTTCTGTCGGTACTTTTATTGTTGATGTACTTTCTTCTGCTTTCACAATAGCCGAAACAATAGGCGATGGAGCAGCAGTCGTTGTTGTCGTTGAAATTGAGCGTTTTTCTTCTATATCCGTACAGCACTGAATATTACCTTTTAGGCCATTGTTTATTGTGTTATTTCCGTTTTTTATTGATTTTTGAAGGTTTGTTGTTTTGCTTGTTTTATTTACACCTGAAGAAGAAGTACCCAAAAATATTCGTTCAATATTTAATGCAGGAAGTTCGGCTAATAAATTGCAAAGAACACCTGAAAGAATTTTTATTTTAAAAGGAAAAATCATTTTCGGGAATTAAAATAATATGTAATTACTCTCAAAATTTTTTTAAAATTACCATAAGCATAAGCAATAACTAATTGTACAAAACAATGTCCAAATATTTCTGCTTTTGAATCAAAATGCATTGGAAATGGAGAAACAACATAAGTAAAAACAACAGGAATCATATGAAATAAATAAGCACTGTAAGAGAGATTTGAAAGGGGAACTAATGGACTTGAACTAAGCACCTTTTAATTGGAAAAAATATTAAAATAATTTTTTTTTGGAATTTTACATAATTTAACGGCCCTCCAATTCCTGTATGGCAAGCATAAATAATCCATCCAAGAGATATAGCAAAAATTGTACGAGAAACAGCTCCATAAAATAAATGATAAAATGGCCTTTTTAAATTTTTATAAAAAAATGTTTGTTTAAAAATAAAAACCAATTCCATCCTTGAAGTGCTGGATAAAGTCCGAAAACTGACCAAAACCCAAAAATTATTGCTAATAACCAACCAGTAATTTTAAAACTACGAGAATGGGGAGAACAGAATGTTGTTGAAGTTGGAGATCTTTTATGTGAAGAAAGGGAATGTTGGGCCTTTTTAAATGAATATTATTTACAATTCTCTCACTTTTTTTAGTTTATTTGAATACTCTCCAAAAATTTTTAATTTTCCCCTCAATTTTAAAGATTTACTTAAAAACTCTCCAAAATTAATTAACAAAAACTAACAAACCAAAATATAACCCAAAACAATTCCAACAAGATAAGGCCCAATTCTATACCAAGGTTTGATATAAATAACTAAATGATGCTTTAAAATATTAAAAAAAAAATAAATATTTTTAAAAAATAAAAAGAACCAAAATAAAATCTGGAGAGAAAATATTTGGCTGTTTCCAAAGCATTTGTGTTGGGGGAAAATTATATCTAATCATTGTGACAACATTAAGTATTGAAGAAAGACAAGAAATTGCAAAACAAAGTAAAATCCCTGCTTTCGGACATTGTAAAAGTGAAAGCAAAAATATTGGAGAAAGTAAATAAAAAAGAAATTCTGTCCCAATATACCTTGAAAAATTAAAAAAGAATTTTTTTTTTAATATTTTCAAAAAAATAACCAAGTCCAAGGCATACAACGATTATCAGTCAAAGAATTAATAAAAAGAACATTTTCTATCCAATGTTTAGGACATTGAACTGCTGGATCTGTTGGTGGCCACATTGGATGGTAATGAGTAATCTTTAATTATTTAAATTGTTTTTTAAATTAAAAAGAAAAACTTCCTTACACTAACACGAACAGTTACAGCAATTAAAGTAAATATATAAGCTGGCCATAAACGTACAACTCTGTGACGATAAAAACGAAGCCAATAACCCCAAGAAGTCCAACTTGGAATTTCTGTGACTTCTTTTTAAAAAATAAAAAAAAACATTTAAAAACAAATTTAAATACCTCTTCCTCCCCCGCCCCCTCCTTGCCAACGTTTAAACCAACTATAAGCAGTTAAAGTACCAGAAAGTACAAGAAATACATCCTTAAATTATTAAATAAATAAAATCTCTTTTAAAAATAAATTTACCACAGAAAGAGTAAAATTAGTTATCCATTGATTCCAAAAATGATCAACCTACACAAGAAAAAAAAATTATTTAAAAGAAGGTAATTCAAAAATAAAAACCAAATCATTCTTCAATTCATCCACATTACTCAGAAATGCTTGTACAAAAATAAAAGAATGCCCAACAAGTGTCCAACACATTGCCCCAAAACGTAAACCAAAAAAACAAGTTATTGTACTCATTCTTTCTTTTGGCATTTGAACAAGTTTTTGAAAATTCTTTTTAGCAGAAAAACATAAAAGTAATTCTAGTGCCAACTAAAAATAATTTTAAAAAATTTTAAATTGTCAGAAGACCTTTCCTATTAAATTTAAATACAAAAATATATTTAAATACCTTTTGCTTTTTATTTCCAACTTCATTTTCGTCCAATTGTTTTCTTTGTGAATTAACATCTCCTCTACGGCAATGTATTGCTGTAGCTATACCAACAATTGCTACAAGAAATAAATCAGAACCAAAATGAACCTTTTTTTAGAAAAATATTTTTTTTAATTTCAAAAAATACCTACCAAAGGTATAGACTGTTCCCACCATTGTTTTTCGTGTCTAGATTTTGTACAATCCCCAAATTCCACAAAAGAATTGTTATTTATTTCTTTATAAGGATTAGCAATCTTTTGCCATTCAATTAATAACTTTTAAAAAAATTAAAAATAAATACAAACTTTTAGAGAAAATAATTTATTTTTTTTACCTCCATTCGGTCATTTTCATCACTACAAGTACTTGGAATACACATTCCATATGAAGTTTTAGGTAAATTTTTATCAAAAGGTATATCATTTCCATAACCTTTTTTTGAAGAGAAGATAACTGTTTTTATTTCTTTTTAAAAATACTTACAATAATGTAAAGGATATTCAGAAGCACTATAACTACTTTCTCCGGCTGCTTTTATACACTAAAAAATAAATAAATTTTTGAAATAATTAGAGACCGGATTTTTATGAAATTTGGTTTAAGAATTTGGATATCTTTCCGCATTGTTTTCTAATCTTTTGATTTTTGGGAGGACAAAAACAAGAATTGACCGAATTTCAGCCATTTTCAAAAATTCCTCATTCAAAAATTCCTCCCTCTAAATTCATAAAAATCCGTTCTAAAAATAAATAATAACCATAAAAGCACTGTAAAGCCATCTGTCTTGATCTCTACTTATAAATTGTTGATAATCCTAAAATAAATTTATTTAAAAATTCTTCTTCCTTAATTTACCCCAATACTAAAAGATTCAGAAAAAAATAATCTTTGCTCTTCCAAAGTTCTTAAATCTGTTAAAAACCGTTCTACTCTATCTAAACTTAAAGCACATTTTGTTTGAAGTTTATGTCGAGGCACAGAACGAAGAAATCCCCAAATTTGAGTTTCACTAAAGTGTGTTAAATTTGTAGAAGAAATTGAATTAATTAGTAAATAAATAGTTAATAGTAGTAGTAGAA